AAGTTGTCATCAAAGTTCTTCATCAAATGCTGCTGGTAACGGTAAGTTTGTTGAATTGAAGTACAAATGGTGCTCGGTAGGGTATGGTTTTGTGCTCGGTAGGGTAGGGTTTTGTTGTTGAGAATCTTTTTTCTCTTTACTTTTTGGGATTTGACAAATGGGACCAATTCTTTTTCCTTTTCCCTTTACTTACAATGATTGAACTACCACATTAAATGTTTTTTATGCAGCCCCATGTGATACCACGTTTACTCTAAAGTTGAGGTACGGAGGAAGAGTGAGTGAGAGTAGCAGACCATTTTACAGGGGAGGTACTACACATTTGTTTTCTGATGTAGATGTGGATGAGTTTGGCTTAATTGTGTTGAAAGAGAAACTAGAAGAAGTTGGTTGCACAAAGAAGTTAAGAAGAGTCTTTTGCTATTCAAATTCTTCACTAAATGAACTGAAAGGTGACTCTGAAATCTGGTCCTTTGTGAGTAATGGCAGTGTGGGTAAAATTGTGGAGTTGTGGATAGAATTAGAAGAAGTTGATGATAATGGAGATACAGATGAGGATCTCTCAGATAGTGATTTTGCTTATAGTGAGAAGGACCTAGAAGACTTTTCGGGGGATGATGAAGATTCTGACCTAGGGGACTTCATATGTGAAGATGATGCTGATTTTGCTAAACACATTGATCCAACAGCTGAATATGGAGGGCTGCACAGCAACAGTGAAAGACAGAACATAGAAAGTGAATCATTAGTGGTAGATCCTGATCCAAATTTGTCTGATGATGCTTCAATACATGATTCAGATTCTGATGCTGAAAAGTGGAGTACATTTTGTGCCCAAACTGATATGGAAAACCCATCTTTTAAGCTTGGAATGACATTCAGTACCAAACATGAATTCATGCAGGCAGTTCAAAACCATGCTTTCAAGACTGGTAAAGATGTGAAATTTGTAAAGAATGACAAGATAAGAGTTGTTGTGAAGTGCAAACACCTAGACTGCCCATGGAGGATCAATCTCAGAAAGGTAGTTGATGCTCACTCTTGGAGGATACTTGAGTACCAAAATAAGCATGATGGGTGCTCTTGGGTGTATCACAATAAAATGGTTAACTCAACCAAAGTTGCTAAGAGATGGTTGAAGGAGATTAAAAGTCACTCAAACTGGAAGACCAAAGAATTCAGACAAAAGGTGTGTACTGATGAACGATTCCATGTAAGTACAAGGCAGGCTTACAGAGCAATGAGCACTGCCAAAAGAAAGCTCAGAGGTGAGGAGGATGCATACTTTAACAAGATCTGGTGTTATGTGGAAGAAATAAGAAGGACTAATCCACTAACCACATGCACTGTAAAACTCAGTGAAAACATAGAAGAGGGTGGGAAACAAAGGTTTTTGAGGATGTACTTGTGTTGGGAAGCATCTCGATAAGGATTCAAAAGTTGCAGACCAGTTTTAGGTTTGGATGGCACTCATCTTAAAACAATGACAGGTGGGCAGTTGCTAGTTGCAGTAGGGTTAGATGCAAACAATAGCATCTTTCCTTTGGCCTATGCTATTGTTGATGGGGAAACAAAGGATTCATGGGCTTGGTTTTTGAATCTAGTAAGAAGGGATGCTGATATCAATGAAGAGAATGAACATGTATTCACATTGATGTCTGACAAGCAAAAAGGCCTCATCCAAGCTGTTAATGAATTATTTCCCATGGTTGAACATAGGTTCTGTGTTAGGCATCTACATGGGAATATGAAGGTGGCTGGATTTCCTGGAAAAGCTGTGAAAGATGCACTTTGGGACTGTGCCAGGGCTTGTACAGTGAATTCTTTCAAAACAAGTCTGACCAAGTTAAAGGAAATTGATGAAAAGGCTTTTGATTGGCTGGCAGATAAAAATCCTACAGAATGGTCCAAGTCTCATTTCTCTACACACTCCAAAACAGATATGTTAACTAATAATATATGTGAGTGTTTGAATGGGGTCATTTTAGAGGCAAGGCAAGAGGCTATTTTAGTATGTTTTGAAAGCATTAGGAAGCTACTGGTCACAAAATTTTTTACTAGTAGACAAAAGGCAGAGAAATGGACTACTAATTTGTGCCCTAGAATTGTGAAAAAGTTACAAGAAATTGAGAAGTTAGCTGCAGGTTTAATAGGGTATCAGTGTGGTGAGAATGACTTTGAGATTACTGGAATGAGTGGTACACAGCATGGGGTTGATTTAGAGAGGAAAATATGCACATGCAGGTTGTGGGACTTAACTGGTATACCATGCAAGTATGTTGTGTGTGCTATTTGGTTGAAGTATGGAAGAGGTCCAGTTGATGCTTACGTGCACCCATGTTACACAAAAGAATCATATTTGAAGATATATGCTGGCAGTATAAAGCCAATGGCAGGCAAAGATGAGTGGCCTATTTCTGATAAAATTCCCCCACTTCCTCCTGTGTATTCAGCCAAGCCCGGAAGGCCAAAAAAACTGAGGAGGAAATCAGCTGTGGATCTAAGCAATGATGGAGTGAGAGTAGCAAGGACACACATCAAGATGCATTGTTCAAAGTGTAGAAAAGAAGGTCATAATGCAAGGAGGTGTCCTGAAGATCCAAATAACAAAGAGAAACTGGTAAATACACTCATGATTTATGTTATTATGTCATTTACTTATTTAGGACTTATATGTACTTCATCTTATTTTTCTTTAACCATTATATTTTTTCTACACACAGCTTCAACCTAGAAAAAGAAAACCAAAATCTGCACCAAGGCATAGTGGAGGAAGTGTTGGTGAAAGTGCTGGTAATGAGGATGTGGGAGCACCCAAGGTTTCTGCTTTAGATGAGGACAACCTTATGGATATCAATATGCAATATGAAGACTTCCCATCTTTAGGACTTGAGTTTCCTATTGTTGTTTCAGTGGAAGATACTTCAATGTTCACTCAAGTGAGTGACCAAGAAGCTGAAAAACTAAGTGGCCAAGATGCTGAAAGAGAGACTGGAGAAGGGACTGAAACTCAAAGTCAGGATAGTGCTGCAAACCAGAGTGATGCTATTGATGAAAACAAGATTGATGATGTTGACAAAGACAACACCCATGGGTTTGAGCAAAGAAATACTCATGGGGTCAAGATAAGCTTTGGACCATCCCCTCCTTCTAAGACTTTCAATTCAAAAGGTGCACAACCACAAGGTGTGAACTCAGGACATGGAAAACCAAAACTCAAAAAACTTGACATAAAAAAAGGACCAACCTATTCTACCAGATCCAAAACGACCTTCAAGTCTGTTTTTTTTGGGAATGATGCAGACCCAATTGACCTTGGCTAGTGTTTGATGTCAATCATTTGGAAAGGACTGTAGGGGCTTCCATTTTGCTGTAGGTTTTATTGTAGTGTTTGTTGTAACATGAACTTCAGTGTAGTTATCACTATGTTTTTTGCCCACCAGGAGATATTACAGGTTGCTATGTGTAAATGGTGGTTGTTTTGGAAGTACAAAACATTTGCTATGACTGTAATTTTAGTGTGTCTATGTTTGTAATTCTGTTTTGTGTGACCATAGTATATGTTTCAAGTTAAGTGTGTTTGTAGTGAACCATGTTTTCCAGTTTATAATGTAACACAACAGTTGTAACATTGAATATGCAATAGAACTTCATATATACATGTCATCACCATGAACATTTGGCATCAATACATTTCAAAGATATTACCAACATTCCTCAAAATTGTTCGGAATACATAAAAACCATGCTACAAGACTATTTTCTATGTGCATACATGGATGCAAAAACCACAAAAAATGTTATAATGCACACGCCCAGTCTGCTGCAAGAGTATCTTTTGTGCTCTATCTTCTCCATCTTATCTTTTTTGTTTTCTGGTTTCTCAGCTACTTCCAGCTTCATCTCCAATGTGTGAATGTGGTTTTCATACCCATTCAGTTTTCTTAACAACCCTGGAATGATTTTCTTGGATCTTTTACACATTGGAGGGTCAAACCAGTCCATCAAACCACACCCTTCAGACCACTGCAATCACATAATACAAATACTTACAAAATCAATCATCTCAAAAAATATGGAAAATTTTAAAGCTGCACCATGCTACTAATACCTCATTTCCAACGCATTTCCAAAATCTTCTCCAACAGTTTTCTGGTTTCCATGTAGTCAAAAGCTTCAATTCTTTCCCACATTGACAATGTTTGACCGGAATTCACTCTCCATATTCATACCGGCCTGTTGATTTCGAGGTAGTTGAACTGCTGCTATACATGGTGACCTTCGAGCTTACAGAGGTTGTCGTTGGAGTGAACAGGGAGTGCCTACGAAGGAGGAAAACGACGGACTAGTTGGTTGGGGATTTAGGTTTAAATGTTGGATAATGTAAGGGGTATTAAAGAAGGGGTGGTTACGATACAGATGGAGTTGGCGAGGAAGAAGTGAAGACCAGCCTATGAAATTACTAGACTAACCTTCCCTTTTTTAATAAATGATTCAACCGGCCGGAGTTTTGGTCGGAAGGACGACAGATGGTAAAGGAAGAAAACGTCGGGACTAAATGTGGACAAGTTGAAAGTCAGGTACGTAATGCGGAAGTGGAATTAATTCCACATTAGGTCCTCTGAGTTTTGTGTCATTTCCATATTTAGTCCTCGTCTTTCACTTTATCCATTTTTGGTACCTTACTATTGTTTTCTTGACCATTTGTGGTCCATTTCTGAGCATTTCTACTATCGGAAAAGGACTATATATGGTCAAGAAAACAATAGTCAGGTACCAAAAATGAATAAAATGAAATATGAGGACTAATTGTGGAATTGGTGCAAAACTCGGAGGACCATAAATGGAATTTTTTCTGCGGAAGTGGTATAATACTCGAGGGACCAAAAGTGGAAAATTTTCTTACCAAAAAATCAAATTTACAATTAGGTAAATTCGGTACGTTGAACCCTACATTCTTCGAATAAATGGACAAGAATTAAAGTGCCTTACCTACAGAAGCCGGGTTGTCAACTAGCCGTTACAATAACGTTTGAAGAGAATTTGAAATCGTGTACGGCAGCCGTAAATTGCTCGCGTTAAAACCTGGCTGCCACACCGCAAAATCAACAACCCTAACGAACGCAAATTCCTCAATTATCAATCGCTTCCTTCTTCTCTCTCAGCCAGATCCACTTCACCTGTTATCGTCTTCAATCAAAGGCAATCTATAGATCAAACAACAAGGGGACATTGAGAGGGAAATGGCGGCTGCGAATACGACCAACAACGGGCAAGGCAGCCTTCCGGCCATCCCTCCAACAAAGCAAACGGTTCCATCTTCTAAGTCCGTCGATACCCAATCTGTTCTCAAAAGGTCCTCATAAACTCTTTATCCGTTGTTTCATTTAGGGTTTCTAGGTTCCTTAGACTTTCTTTGATAACGGTAATTAACTCATACATTCCTAGAAGATGCACTGTTTATGAAATTGTCTATCTTCTTGAAATATGAAACAATGAAGCAAATTAGGTTAACTGTTAAGTACCATATCCTAGTATTGGTGCTAACATGCGAGTAGTTCGGGGTGGCCGGGGACCGACCCAATCCAAATTAAATAAACTTTTGTTTTGAAATACTTCTTCCGTTCCGCTAAAATACTTCCAACCACATAAACTCACTTTTCTTAATATTCCCACTAGGTCCTAATGTCTCAATGTTACGGGACAGAGGTAGTACATTTTTGTGTAAAAATTATATAAAAAATTGGTTTACCCGCTCCACCCCAATATTCTCGTGCCTGCATCTACAACACCTCGTGCGGGTTAAATGGTTTTGATATGGGTTGAATTTGTTAATTGGTTGGTTTCAATCTCTGAGGGAATGTACTACTTTTCTGTAAAAAATGATTCTAACCTTTTAACTTCAAAGGAGCTAAATGTTGTGCTTTCAAATAAGTGTTTCTACTAAGTAGAGTTCAAAAACTTATCATTTAAAGCTAGAAGCTAAAAACAATATGAGAGGTGTTTTAAAAAGTGTTTGTTTGATTCCTAATGATATAAAGGAAATGTGATTGTGAAAAGATAAAAGTTAGAGTGTTTGTATTTTAAGGGAAAAGTAGTTTAAAGCATCCCTACATGTTCCAGCTTTAATTTTAAAGTGCTTAATTTTAATTGAGAAACACTTTTTAAAACAATGCAAAACACTCCCTTCACTCCTTTTCACTTTTAGTGTTACACAAAAAATATGGGGTACTTCCATTTCTATTTTAGTCTCTGAGTTATTCTAAATTCTAATCCCAGTGTTCTTCATTGTATCATGACAGGCTGCAATCAGAACTAATGGCTCTGATGGTAAGAGAGAAAATGGAACCTTTTGTTATTTTTCTGAAAAATTTACAAAATGCTTTTATGAACTTTTTATCACCTCAATTTCAAAGTAATCTCAATATGTAGATGAGCGGTGAGTCTGGAGTATCAGCATTCCCAGAGGAAGACAACATATTTTGCTGGAAAGGGACAATTACAGGCAGTAAAGACACAGTTTTTGAAGGAACAGAATATAAGCTCTCTCTGACCTTCCCTAATGAGTATCCATTTAAATCACCCAAAGTTAAATTTGAGACAGCTTGTTTTCATCCAAACGTTGATGTATATGGGAACATATGCTTGGATATCCTTCAGGTTACAGTTTTTAATCATCTGTTCTTTCATTTTAGCATTTTTTTATTCTTCACCTGTGCCATCTGACATTCTTAGGGAATGTATATATAATTGCAGGACAAATGGTCGTCTGCTTATGATGTAAGGACTATACTACTCTCCATTCAGAGTTTGCTTGGAGGTAATTTGTTTGTGTCCTTTACTTGTGATTTGTGATGGAACTTTATATAGTAAAGAAACAATATTAAGATTTAAGAGCATACTTATTTCTCAAAAAAAGGAATATGTTATGGGAAGGAGGGATTTCTTTTTTTAACCATTCTCTAACTTGAGTTTCCTTTCTTGATCTCATGATTTCAGAGCCAAATATAAGTTCTCCGCTAAACACTCAGGCGGCAGCATTGTGGGGCAATCAAGAAGGTAATAATGCCTAATGCTTGTGACAAGTGCCCCTAATACAGCTTTTATAAGCATCGGGTTTATTATGCGTAATGCTTGTTTTATAAAATTTACAGAATACAGAAAGATGGTTGAGAAGCTATACAAGCCAAACACCGTGTAGACCTGACAAGTTCTTGAAAAGACAGTTGTATGGAGGGCCTGCCCTTTTTAGTTTTTTCCCCTTTTACTTTTGTGTTTTGTTAAAGTTTATCATCCAACGGTAGAAACATGTTGAGTGAGATAGAGCTTCGAGAGAGTTTAAAAAATTGTACGGCGGCAATATGTATTTTTGTTGAAATTATGTTTCAAATTTAATGGTTAATAAAGTAACAAAAATACAAGGTGAGAAAACCCTTCAAGTTTATCAAACCCACTCACTTCAAGGATACTCTTGTCAAATTATGTCATTGTTTTCCACCTCACTTCAAGTACCTCACTTCAAGTCTCACTTCAACTCTTCAAGTACCTCACTTCAAGTATGTATATTCAAGAAATTATACATACTGAGTTGAGTGAAAAATAAAGAATTTCATCCTAAACTCACTTCAAATTCATTCAAACTAATAGTCTTCTAATCAATATATATGATGGGATGAACAGAGACAAGTTGGCTTTGTTTGACCAGCTACGAGCTCTTTAGAGCGGACAATGCCTCCTTTGTTGTGGCAGAGATAACAGCGTCTGAAGCATTCGGCAAATAATAATACTTCCCTGTGTCATTAAAAAAAGTTGGTATCACTTTCCTGGCAGATTAGTAAGCTAACTAACCAAATAGGGGCGAAATCAAACCTTGAGAAACTTTTGCAATTTCTTTGGCAAAGCCAGTGGACACAAATTTGTTCTCAGTATCAATAACTAGGAGGGACATCCCTGCTTTGTATATCTTACCAGCCACCTCAAGAATCTCATCCTGTGCACAAAAAAAAAACAATATTGAGGAAAAGACTAAACCACATCTGTCATTCCCAATCACAATTGAGTTAGTACTGTTTATGTGGTGGGTACCTTCAACTCTTGAGCAGAGGGTCTGGGTGGTGGTGGTGCATCAGAAGAGGTTGTTGAATCCGTGGATCTCTTAAGAGATATGTTGGCTCGACCATCAGTAATTGCAACAATCATTATTCGCCCAACATCGCCACTCTTCTCTGCGTTCATCCCTACTCTAACTGCCTGAGACAACACAACCAATCCTGCATGACGAATGAATCTAACAACAAAAGCATTTTGGCGGGGGGGGGGGGGGGGGGGGGGGGGGGGGAACATGTTTTTTGTACACCAAGGTGTGTTCACCAAATCATTACTGTTTTGTACACACACCTAAAAAACGTGAGAATTATAGTGTGAAAAAATAAGTGTCGTTAAACACAAGTGTTTATTCAAAATTCACATGCCGACCTACCGTAGTGAGTCCATGCGCAAGGGGAGAACCCCCACCACAGGGAAGTCTCTCAAGACGCTTTCTTGCCATTGAGATTGACCTTGAAGGGGGCAACAGAACTTCTGCAGCATCTCCTCTGAATGGAATGATGCAAACCTGTGTTATACAGAAAAAACAACTTCTATCATCTCATATATATATATATATATATATATATATATATATATAAATTCCTAGAAACCCGAAACTTACCTGATCTCTACTTGTATAACTTTCTGCAAGTAGTTTTAATGCTGCTCCCTTTGCATTCTGCATCCTGTTCAATGCCATACTTCCACTTGCATCAACCACAAATATCACCTGTGATATAGAAATTCATGTTACAGTTATTGTGTTAGAGAAATCCAGAGCTAACCTATCTTTTCATTCCAAAAGTAAGATCTTCATCAGTTTAATGAAAGATTACTGACAGACTTGAATGGTTTGAACAAAAAATTAAAATCTCCAGTTGAACTTTTTTGGGGACTATGACACTAGATTACATTTTCTCTACTTGAGTAATCAAATCACATTTGCCTGATTCCTATGTTTTTTTGACAATTTCTTGAAGTTTTCATGGTTCACCTGCAAGTTCTACCATGAAAACTTCTTTACAAGTAATCTATTACAAGAATTTCTTTACACTATATATAAATAAGTACCCTACAAGTATGAAGCAAGAAAAAGAAAACTGAAAAAACCACATAAAAAAGAAGATAGTTTGTTCAGAGAGAGAGAGAGGAACTAATCTACCAAGGCCCCCGCTTTGCGTGCCATTCTTTTTGCTCTCATGTCGGTTTTCTCTACAAACACTTTTCTAGTTTTATGAATGTCCTTCTCTCTACGTAGCTTCTGATACGGTGCAGCTGCTCTTAGAGTTGCATCTACAGCTAATCTCTTAACTGGACCCTGAATGACATCAAGTAATTTCACAAGAATATATGAATGGATTCAGTTCTCTTCTTTTAAGAAACATAGCATTCAATAGAATTGATTCAATCATAACAGAAGGACTATGTTATGAAACTAAGAGAATAGAATCAGAGCATAGTTAACCTTAGGAAGCATTGGCTTAATATATCGACCTCTATCTTCAGAGAAAATAACATTTTTAGCTCGCCCAGCTTTTCCTTTACGCCTCTGTGCTTGTTGTGCAAAGAAGAGAAGCTTGTCATCCACCAAACCACCTTCCGCATCAAAAATAAACTCATCGGGTATTTGTTCCTGTTGCTGCTCATTTTCCGCATCTTTGTCTTCCTAGTTAAAGATTGAACAGAGTGATCATATAGAAGCCAAGAAACCCTTTTCTAAGAAAAGGTGAAAGTAAATATTGTCCATTTTAACAAACCTTTTTATCTTCCTCTTCCTCTTCGTTCTGCTCTTCCGAAGAATCCTGATTTTGTGGAGGAGGAGGGGGAGGGGGAGGTGACTGTTGATTTTGCTGCTCAGGTGGGCTTTCATTAATAATTGTCCGTGGAATGATGACCAATTCCACCTGAATTAGAAAAAGGTATTAGGACTGTGCTAAGTGTTTATCCCACGGGGAATGATGAGCAATTCTGCCTGAATTGTAATGATTTTTATGATTGACAGCAGCAGCCTCTCTACTCTAGTCTGGGTCTCAGACGATAAGGTCTGCGTACATCTGACCCTACCCAGACCCTACTTCCGAGTTGGACATACAAGGTAATGTTTGGTTTGTTTTGCTTTATGGTAGCAAATCTGTATGGGGTTGTTTCTTGTGAAAAACAAGCCAAAATTGTGTGGTTACAGGCTATGAAGTCACAATGGTAAAAGCTGATATGACCTGGAATATTTCAGGCTGATGATTTTAAAGTACATGCTGAAAACTGTTCAGCTTTGGAGAGTTCGAAGTGATATGCTTCTTCTGGGGTTGGATGAGGGCATGACTTTGGAGAGAACTAAGTGGAGGGCGGGTATTCGCGTGAAGGAGTGATCTCGTATAATCTTTTTCCTTCATCTTTTTTTCCTTGTTTTTTATCCTTATATATATAAGCATTATTTGTAGCCTTTTTATTTTATCATTTTTATGTATATTCATCTCTTTTATATTATCTTTTTATAATAGCTTATCTTTTTTATCTTTATTTTCTTTATTTTCCTTTTGGTTGTGATATCATGTATCGATTCATGTTAGCCGACCCCAATATCTTTTGGGACTAAGGCTTGGATGTTGTTGTTGTTGTTGCTGAAAACTGTTCAGCTTTCATACAAGTTAAAGAACATAAGTGACTGATTTACGATTTAGATCAGACAGTTTGGGCAGCCCAGTACACATTGGCATCCCAGCAAGGTGAGGGGCCGAAGAAGGGTCCCATCACAAAGGTGTGTAAGAAGCAAGCCTTTTCTTGTCATTTTGACAAGAGGCCGCTCCTAAGACATGAACTTGTGACCTCTCAATCACACAGATGCGCCAAGGCTCCCCTTCACACTTTATAGTCTAAAATATAAAAAAATGGGGCTTTCCCAAATGATGGTTCCATGAATCTCGAGGACTCAAGTGCCCGACTAGTATGTCTAGAAAACACTACTACTATGTACAGTTTTAAGTAAATGACTGGCATGGGATTCAAGAACATGTGTAGATATAGTTAAGGACAACTAATGATAAGTTTTGAAATATCTGGACACGACTACACCACCCCAATTTATGATAAAGATTGTGTTGATATGATCTCCAAAATAATTTTAATTCTTCTGAGATGAGAGAAGTAATAATACTGTTGCAGCCTTATAGGGTAGATAAACAAGATATTACTCAAATACAGTGCCACCAATTTTTGGAGAGTGAATGTAAGAGGTAAAAGTGTGAGTGTGGGATGACTAGAAAATAAAAAGTGTAACACAACTTACAGCTTTCTTCAGGTCATCGACATTGACTTTGTCACGGCCCTCGAGAGCAGCTAAGCATTTAGCAACACGAGCAGCATATAGTTCAGCTCTGTGTCCCTGTAATTTCAAAACCAATGGCAGTCAAATGCTTTAGGTAAGGACACTTGACCATATTAAAGAGAAACTCAGTAACAACTATTCAACACATATAGCCCTTCCTTTCATGAAACAAATCTGAATATTTTATTTGAGGTTAAAAAATGTCCCACTTACTTTATATAAGCTACAACATACACCCATAACAATTAATATATGAACAGTGTGATTAGGGCATGTTTTGTAACTTATTAGAGTGTTCATCCTAACAGTATGACATCAATGCCAGTATGCCACTATAATATTTTGTGTAATGTGGCTCACATTTTCATGTTCTTTTTATGATTTTATCTACGAAGAAATGTTAAAGAATCCTCCTAACTTTGGAACTTCTACTACATAAGGCAGTTTATAATTAACAAGTTTCTCTCCACTACATTGGAACTTCGACCACTGCTGAATCAGAGGTAAAATCCACTGCTAAAACTTTTCACGCTCATAGAATGATGTGGCATGTCTTTAAGCCACAAATTTAGTAGCAAATGGTAGACTGCAGTGGAGAATCCATTGCAGTGAAGAGTAACATTTAGAGATGGCCTCTTTTTTGGGTTTGTTAGCCTTATCAACCAACTTTTTTACCAAATACTAAGCTTTTAATTTTGTGCGCTGAATTTTGTTATAAATCTATAATCAAAATAAGTAAGGTTAAAGTTACTTTTTTAGTTGAATTTGCTGAAAAGGACTATTTTAGCTTTTTGTTCATATAAGTTTTTCTTTGTTTTATTAATAAAATATATTTTAAATATAATATATTCATAATTCAGTCATTTCAGCTGTTTTAGTCACAACTTCAACACTTTCGACCGATTCAGCAAATTTCAGCATTACCAAACAGGCTCTTATTATAAGTCTTCTGAAGCCTTGTCCAAATACCGGTCGGGAGCATACTTTTAACACTAGTACAGTGTTTTGGCAAGTACCTGGCAACCACCACGTACAGCTTCCATAACCAAGTACTTTAGCTGCTCTCGGCCAATTGTAACATCCTTTAGATATTCCCTAGCCAATATGATCTACAAAGAATCAAATCCCAATCAGATGCTACGCCAATAACAGAAGTTAGCATGTAGAAATAAAGCATGAAGAGAGAATCTTTTCAAATTATATAATGAAAACTCTAGGAACCAAAGTTCAATTTGGTTTCTCGAAAATAAGAGCCTCTTTGGGTTGACTTATGCTATAAGTTCTTTTATAGCCCTAAGAGTGCTAAATGTTTTCTCCTTAGCACTAAGAGTGCATTTTTTAAATAGTTCCAATACAGAGCTTTCTTAAATAAGCACATATACATGCATTGTTAGAATAAGTACTTTTTTATTTTCGCGCTAAACACTTTTTTAAATGTAGAAGTACTTTACTTTGCATAGAAGCACTTATTGTTTGAAAATAAGTCATCTCAAACACAACCAAAGTTATGGATAATGCTTCTTTCGACAATGATATCCTGGAAAAAAAGTTGGTCTGAGTATAATATAGCCACCAGTCCTATTTATAGAGTGCACTGGGGATGCCCAAATATAAGTTTCTATTGTATTACTAATGCATATTGAATATTTTATTCCACATTTGTCAGTCCTGAAAACTCTAACACTTATTCCCCATAAATGCTTTTAGTCATTTATTTGGTCTGTGTGAAAGCCAAAATAGTGCCTTATAAGAGCAAGAGGGAGTATATCATTTAACCTGCAAAACATAAAAAATAGAACTATTTCAAATACTAATGTCCTCTTTTCCTTTGCATGCAATCTAACCTGTCTATATGCCTATCGGTACAACATAATGCCAACCTTGACCGGGATGTTGGAATGGGAGTCAAAAGTTTTGTAAAGTAACAAGAAATATTCTCAAAAAGAACATAAGTCTAGGAAACAGTTCCCGGGGAAAAATAATTCCTGGAAACAAAACAGAGCCCAATTTAATAAAAGTGTCTTTTCACGGAGGATAAAACATAGCATTGTTAACAAATGTAATTGATATAGAACTCAAAGACCTTAAAACATGATGGTTTAGAACAGAACGTCAATGCTAAATGAACTTTAATGATAAGGCAATAGTGTCAGTATCTTCAACTCATCACCAATGTTCTTCTAGAGAATAGACATGGTAGTGATGATACCCACTAATTACAGATTAATGAATGATTTTGACCATCTGTGAACAAATATACATCAGGACTTTTAACCAATTCCGAAGACTGTTTTCTAGGTGCCCAAGTACCCAACAGTGAAGCACTGAAGTACAATACTTGTTTAATAAATCATCCAGATTATTCTTTTTAGTAAACCTTTGCTTCTGAATGGTAAGCTTCTTCACCCACCACTTATATACTTCATCACCAAGACTATTTTTGAAGTACTAAATAATACAAGCATAGGCATAGCTTCTTCATGTTAGCCGACTCCAAAATCTTTTGGGAATAAGGCTTGGATGTTGTTGTTGTACGCATAGAAAAGTTTTCTATATGTCGATGGGGTAAATACCCAACCAAGCATCGAAGGTCCAGAAAGTGATGTGTTCCCTTTACTTGGTCAACTATTAATATTCCTTGTAGTTGGCGCACCTAAGTGTTATAAAAGGGTCTACCATCCTCACTCTTTAGGATCAACTTTTGCTCTTCCACACATTACCATATACTTGTTATCTTGGGGGGGGGGGGGGTCTAAACATTAACAAAACTGGGAATGAGTTGGCATGGTACCACTGAGAAAGCCAGTGATTTCACCAATTTGTTGCTTTGCAAACACCCCTGTGTTCTTATCCTTATTCCATGACTCTTGGCACCTCATAAATCTGTGTGCTTAAATGGTTATATTGGGCCCTGTTACTTAACAAATAACACCAACCATCATATTAATCTTTATTTATGAAAATTGTACCTGTGTCTTGGCAAAATCTGTTTCTTCATCCACTGTCTTAAGAACTTCATCACTATGTTCCTGAAACTGTGTTGCTATGTCTACTGCTGCAACACGGTTTTCAAAACTCATTGGAAGATCTGCACTGCAGAAGGGTTGTATTATTATTAAATTTAGTAGAGTTGGAGCTGGCAGGTGTACAAAGTTCAAAAAAGTGCTCCTGAAACTCTATAAAATGATAATGAAAATGACATAATAATCATATAATGATATGCATACTTGTGTTCCAAAAAACATCATCATATCAAGTTGCAAAATTATTAGTAGAATATATTTATAGGACTATGAGGATTCTTTATATAACCAGGTCAAATACCAAATTGGTACCCGGTGTACCTCAAATTAATTGCAATGCGATCCAATAGATGTTCACGGACAGCACCCTCTTCAGGGTTATATGTAGCTATTAACAAAGGTTTGCATGGATGTCGAAAGCTTATGCCTTCTCTTTCAACAATATTAACTCCTTCTGTCAACACATTCAGAAGTAAATTGCCAATGCCTTCGTCCAGTAGATTGATCTCGTCAACATATAAAACTCCTCGATGAGCTTCTGCCAGAAGTCCAGGTTGAAAAACAGTTGTTCCAGATTTCACAGACTCCTCGACATCAACAGATCCAATCAATCTATCTTCAGTAACACCGAGGGGAATCTGCAAGACAAGTTCAACTCTAAAGATGCTCGAAAGAAACAGCTGCCTCCGTGAAAAGGATTCTACTTATAATAAACCTGAATAAAAGGTGATTTAACTATCTCGGTCTTGATATTCCCAGCAGAGTCATACTCCACTCTATCAGCAAGTTCATCTTCCCACCTTCAAGGAACTGGAAGCATTTAAAACTTTGAAGCAATGAAGCTAAAAATTTAACAGCACTGTGAATGTTCGGTTAAGCATTGCCTTAGTTATTTGATTCTAAACTTACTCTTCTGGAGAGTCAGGATGGGCATTTGCAATTGAGCCTTTAACTATTTCAATTGGAGGCAGAATTGCATGCAATCCACGAGCCATCACAGTTTTCGCAGTCCCACGTTTTCCAGATATTGCAATTCCTCCTATCTCACGGTCAATAGCCCCAAGTAGAAGAGCAGTTTTGATGGCATCCTGAGCATGCAATGGATTCATAACACTAGAACAAGAATAGACGGGAAAGAGAAAAGAAGGTCTGCTACTGTAGTTAACTACTTGAGGTCTTGAATAGTTGAATTACAGAAAAATTCAGAAAACTAGTTGACAACACACGGCTAGATCACCAAGTATTTGGTATTTACATACATCTACTCCAACAAACACATACCTGTCCGACTACGGCAGCTAAAGGGAAGTACTTCCTGCCGAAAGACGAATTGTCAGAAGCCGGCTTTTCAGGCAAAGCAACGGCGCTTCCATTTCCGGAGTCCAGAGTTGCTACACTCGCAATGACTCTCAGGCGAAGCCTGTGGCATCGTCTTGACGACCTTAGAGAAGGAGCAGAGAGACATGGGAGCAGAAACTTGAGAGATGAAGAGCGCGGGGTGGCGGAGAAGGGCGCGCTATACGTTGGGTGCGCTGCTAAAGTGTGACAGAGCACCATTTCCTTATTGAGATGTTGGGGCGAAGAAGAAAGAATAGAGGAGTGAGTGTGGTGATTGGTTTCTTATCTTCCGCTTTCCAGTGCTGACATGGAATATTGGATTTACTTCTACATTTGCAGCGGTACGGAGTTTAAAAACTTAAATATGGACATCCATATCAAAATAGTATACACACTCCGATAATAACTTTTTTCTTCGCAAGTATTGTCAATAAAACTCAATCTAAATATTTTTTGTATATCAGTTTAATAAAATGTTAAATAAATTATTATAAGTAATATCTTTCTATGGTTCTATTTCTGAAGAGTTACAAAATTAAAAAATACACATTTCGATGCTAAAAAGTATATATGTCATTAATTTATTTTTTACTTTTTTCGGTTTTAATAAAAAAGTAAAATGAGTTCATGTAAAATTCAGCTATTTGTGGAGACATAGTGAATTAAAAATTTGTGTTTCGTGATTTTTTGGGCCTAAAAATTATCTAGTAGTTGAATCTTCAATTTTTTTAAAAAAACTCTATCTAGACAATATTAGGGTCATATCAAAGATCGTAAACTTTTTTACATTTTAATATATTTTTTGGAAAATTTTGACCACAAATTTTGAAAATTGGGACTTTTTTATTCGGGGATGACGTCAGCATGATGTCACAGAGCTCTTTTCTTCCATTTTCCTTTATTTTGGGTTGTCTAACCTTCTCTCTATTTTTAAACTCTCTCACTCCCCTTTTCACTTTTAAACCCCATTTTACTTCCCTAATGTAAGAAAATAGGAGTCTAAAAGCTCCACGTTTAGCTTTTGGACTTTAAAGACCTTCCACCGCAAAATAGTACTCCCTTTGTGACATTAAGATTGTCTCATTTTCCTTTTCAGTGTCTTCCACTAACATTATCGTATACCAAATTGATAAAATTTGTGTGATCCTAAATCATTCTTAATTTATTCTTATATATTAATTTAATATCAACAACATAAATACATTTTTTTAATATTTTTTTCATTTTTTTTATTAATTGCACTGTCTTTTTATGTTACAATGTGAGTAGGGCGGAGATAGTAGTAGTTTTTGTTTGGTAAATGCTTCACATTATAAGTTTAATTTCGTACTTTGGGTATTGAGCCTCGTCTTTCTCAAGCTATTTCAAGCTATTTTGCTAAAGAAACAGTTTTCCGGTTTTTAACTTTCCATTTTTTTATCTTTTTTCCAATTATGCATTTTTATTTTCCAGTCTTCTGTTTTTGTTTTCTATTTTCTATTTATGTTTTTTCATTTTTTTTAATTTGTTAAAAAACAAGATTGCTGCAAAAAAATGAATTATTTGGTATACATTCGGCCATCCAATTTTCTTCTTAATATGAAATATGAAGATTAAAAACAGAAAAGAAAACGGATGTATAACTGTAATAGCTTAAAAATGAAACAACTATTACAATTTTACTATAATAGTTGGTCTAAAGATTAAAACGAGTCGTTGAGAAAGCGGAGTTAAACGGTAGAAAAGATGGCGGAATTAATAGCTAAAAGAAAATACAGCTATTGTCAGAACTTTGTAAGATTGGGTAGAGAAGATGACCGGGAAAAGGTAGAAGTGGGGAAAAAATGTTTTGTCAACTTTCCTTAATCTTTGTGCCCAAGGAGACATAATAGACTGAAGTAAAAAAAAGGAAAAAATGTGAATGACCTGCTAGGTTGTTATTAGGTCACTTGATCTAATTGATGTTTTTTTACGCCATGTGTACTTAGGTGATACTTTTTTCCAAAATGCTTAGTGTACATCCATTGTACACGTTTTGTACATCATATAAAAGGCCAACTTAAAAAATTTTCAGATTTTTTACCCCTCTCCCCCACCTCTCTCCCCCACGTGCGAGCCTCTCTCCCCCAAATACTCCCGCCTCCCCACTTCCTTCTTCGCCGTTTTCTTCTCTTTCTGCGCATATCTCCCCCCACGCCGTGCTTCTTCTTCGTCCAGCACTCCTCGGTCTGAAGCCATATCCTCTTTCGAAGCGGTCGGTCGTCTCGAGGCGCCAAGGTCGAAGCCGGTCTGAAGCTTCCGATCGCTGGTGGAAGAAGCCACCACTATGGTCCGGAGCACACCGTCATCTTTGGCCGCGGCTGCAAAGAAAAGGTAATATCCACTTCTTGAACACATTTGTGAGCATTATTGTTGAATTTCACCCATATTGTGTGGTATGTGTTTGTTGTTACATTTTTGGGTTATTTTTGAAATCATTAGGGTTTTTCAAAGTTTACACTTGAAAAATTGAGTTTGATGAAGTGAGAAACACACTGTAATTGTAGTATGGGAACCTTAAGGGGGCGTATTGTAGCATTTTGTTTTGTTTTGGAGATCAAAGTATAATGTCTGTGGCCAGACAGTTTAAGTTGTAAAAATGATTTTGATGGAATTCGGTTTGTGTTACAAGTGACTTGATTTATCTATAGTTTGTGATGTGTTGTTTGTCTTCTTTGATAATTAATGATTTTTTGAAAGCAGTAGGGTATTTTAGAAGTTTACATTTATAATTTTAGAACTTATAATATATGGTATGGAATATAGTTGATTTGCTCGGTTGATTTGGTTGGATGATTTGCTTTGTTGATTAGCTTCGTTGATTTTCTTTACCGATTTGCTTCTTTGATTTTCTTTACCGATTTGCTTCTTTGATTTACTTGGCTGATTTGCTTCATTGATTTTCTTGGCTGATTTGCTTCTTTTCCTTGGTTGATTTGCTTCTTTTCCTTGGCTGAATCACTAATACTTAATCTTTATGACTTTATGTTTTCTGGGGTTTGAAACTATTGAAATGCTAAACTTGCTTGAAGTATTATGGGCATTTGTTTAGCATAAATTGATTAATAAACTTGATATGTAATATATGATGGCAATATGAAATTCATAGTTGAAATGTAATCAGTTAAAGTATTATTACACATGATAAAAAATTCAAATTTATCTATTAGCAGGTTCAATTTACTCCATCTACATGCAAAATTAGATATGTTAGTCTCACTACTTATGGTTGTCAGCACACTGTCTTAGTGAAAAGCAAAGATGGATAATAGATTCTATTCTTTGGATGACATACGGTAAGACACTCATGATACAAGAAGGTTATATACACACACACATAAGGTGTGTGCAGAATATAAGCAGTGTCTACAATTCAATGTGTTGTAAGTCATTATGTGTGGACAAATATGAACTGATTTGTGGTATTTGTAGGAAGGAGCATGAACTAGTCGTTCTTGAAGAAGATGTTGAAATAACCAAAGCCCAACCTGCCATATATGAAAGGAAAAAAAGAAAGAGGTTCGTCTCAAAGTATCATAACAGTCCTTTTATGGATCCGTGTGCTAAGTGGGTGAAGCCGAGTGAACTTGGAAGCGACACTGAAATTCCGGGAGAAGATAAACTCTTGAATGAGCTCAAGACTTGGGCGGAAGCCCCTGCTACTGAGGAACCAGTGTGTGATGTTAGACATGCCAATTGATAAGTCTGTATTACAACACGCATTGTCCATCATATGCCCCGAAGTAGTTAAAAAAGTACTTATTTTTTGTTGTAACAATTTGTCCATCATATGCCCCGAAGTAGTTATATATATGCTTATGTTTTTATGTAATCCCTAAACCAAGCACATGTATCTCAACTTCTGGTTTTGCAGTGTATGATGGTAGTATATTGGATGTGAACATTCCAATATTTAAATCTTTCTACCATTGCCAATTTGTGGATCTTGTGTTGATTCATATATTGTGACAAAATGTCATAAATTGCAACATTTTGAATATAGTTATGGCAAAGTATGTCACAAAATGTCATTAATTGTCATGATACAAAAATTGAGTCATTACATGCGTTGTCATTGCCTAAAACAAAGAAAGGTTCAAGCTTAAGTTATCATTATACATCCATTCTAAATTGGTTGGTGCAACATTTCTTGGTACTACCTCTTCAACGTTGCTTGGTCCGGTCACTTCCACTGATGCTTTCCCAGCTTGCTTTTTTTGCCACCCCTGTTATACATTGCAATAGTACATAATATGAGTGGATAGGACATTTGAAGTTGCAGTGGCTAAATGTCTGCGTCCAGACATTTCCCTCCGACTTCACAGACATTTATACCTTGGGTAATCTATTGGTTCCAATGGCTTAATGTTTATGGCCAGACATTTTCGTCCAGACTCACAGACATTTATACCTTGGGTAATCTATTGTATCCAGTGGCTTAATGTCTGTGGCCAGACATTTTCCTCCAGGCTCACAGACATTTATACCTTGGGTAATCTATTGTATCCAGTGGCTTAATGTCTGTGGCCAGACATTTTCCTCCAAGCTCACAAACATTTATACCTTGAGTAATCTATTGGTTCCAGTAGGTTAATGTCTGTGACCAGACAATGAAGTGTGGTCTCACAGACATTTCATACTTTGGTGATCCAGGGTTTTGTGGCTAAATGTCTATGACAGACAAATTAGTATGGTCTCACATGCATTTCAATGATTTCATACTTTGGTGACCCAGGGGTTCCAGTAGGTTAATGGTTGTGACCAAACAATTTGATTCGGTTTCACAGACAAAGGGATATATGTACCTTAGCTTTTTTTCTTCCCTTTTTTGATAGGCATCACCATTTCCTTCAATACGAATACGAATACAATACTTTTACTTCAAAATCATAGAGTACCATAAATGAATGTTAGAGTATACAAATACAATGTCATTCAGTTCTACAGGCACTGAAACCACGAAATGCCTGTCTTCACAGACATTACGTCCCACGTACCTTCATCATCATCAACCTCCAGAATCTGGTTTTCCTCCCCGTCACCGACGTCTTTCGTACAGGGCTCACCTTCTTGTGTCGCCGGAGGTTCAGACCCAGAGCCGACTTTGTCTACTTTAGCAGTTTAGCTCCCATAAAATCGGCCATGTCATAACTACTAATGAAGGCCATCTCCTCAAGATTATAATCCATTCCTCAAGTGTTATTATACTTCCTCCGTCGAGATGTGAAGAGAACAGGAGGAAGAAGGAGAAAGAAGCTTCAGTGAACAGTAGACCTTTGCTGAGCTTGTTTGTGTGCAAAAATACGTAACGGGAAGGGGGAGTGGGAGGGAAAGAAAGAGAGGAGAGAAGGTGAGGGGTAAATGAAATGGTAATTTTTTGGGGGCTTTATATGATGTACAATATGTGTACATCTTGTGTACCCCAAGACAAATTGTACTTTTTTTAGTAAAATGGTTTATGTGATGTTTTTGAAATAGTAAATGGGCTTATTTGACCCTTTTTTCTTATATGTATAAGGCTGTCAAGTGAGAGTATAAGGATGGAATTTATTTCGCAATGAGAGAAACAATATAATCCCTACAATGCTTCCCTACAAAGAAATGCAATTTCTTTCAGACAATCAACAAGTGATAAAATAACTAAATAAGTCTTCAGGGAAAGAGTGATAAATGAGTCAGCTGTCATTTTTCACAATAACATATTCATACTATTAGGGGTGTGTTTGGTAATATGGCACATTGGGATGTAAGATGTTGACCATACTTCAACCAAAATAAAATAAGAAACTTTCAGAGTGATGTGAGCAGGCGAGAAGCCATCGAATGGAAATGAACATCATTAAAATAACAATGATCAAAATTTAAAAAAAAATGCACATGAACAAAATGAAAATGATAGAAATCATCTAGAGAAAAATGAGGTAACTATCATGACAATTACAAAAAAATAACACTGTATGTAAGTGCATCGCAATGTAGAATATAATTTGTGCCATAATACTCAAACATTTCACCTTCCTAGGCATACTATCAGCAGCATACTATTCAGATATTCCCAGCCTACATCTGCTTTTTTTGAGCTGTCAAGAGTCTTCAAACCATGGATATGAACGTCTCTTGTATCACAGATAAAACATATAGATATATACTTCACGTCTTCACCTAGCATGTTATGAGTATAGAAATTCACAACAAAAACAACAAAAGTGGGAGATGATACACATAAATGTCATGAATCATGACATCAAATATGGCTCTGGAAAAATGGCTTGAACTAAATTAGATGACTCGCTAGAAGTGTAATAGAAAAACAAAAGAGCCACAGCCAAATGTTAGAAGTACCACTTTAAAATATTTACTGCTGTATCAACTTGTAGAAGATACAGAGTGATAGATGGACAGAGATAAGATGGCAAAAAGTAAATCTAATTTTCTACATGTAAACTGCTGCTTGATTGAAATCAAAAGATAAGATGAGAAACAAAGCCACTTGTACCTTATTCCATATTCTCCCATCTCAACGAATCAGTCAGAATATATAGCTAAGAAAATGTAACTCAAGAGTCACGGATAATTGAAGATTCGCAAGGTCAAATTCTACTATTGTACAACAATTTGTATGGGGTCAAACTAGCTATAGCCTACTGACCTAGGTAGGTTGCATGCTTTGTTCACCTAGTATTTTACCAGCCTATACGGGAAATCAATAATCCGACTAACTACCAATTTACCATTTGCTTCCCAAAATGGCTGTTGTTTACCAGTTCTCTGGTTAGCTGGCATAATTGATTGATTCTAACCACATTTGATAGGCTGATGAACTTCCAGTGGAGGTTCAGTACATTAGGGTTTCATCCATCTTGATAGAATTCTTGGGAACTAAACAACCAGATCCTCCTGTACATCAATATCCACTTTACTAAAATTCTCAAATCTTTGTATCAACAAAATTAGGGCCTCTGTCACTTCAACATCCATTGCTTTAACCCACTAGTTCCAACATGGTAGCATCTCTGCCATCTGAATCATGAAGTTTTTCAGGAGAAGATTCCTTTGATTGTGCATGTGACGGGACTTTCACTTCTACCGATGTTGCGTTTAAAAGTTCAAGCTTCATATCACTCAAATCAGCCAGTTTAAACACCTCGTTTCTGATTAAATGCACAGAAGCACAAACAGGAGCACTCTTGCAACGACATTTGTGGCACTTGAATCCAATTAGACAACTAATGCTTTCAGATGTAAGACCAAACGCATCTCCATGAAACCAATCTGAAATCATATATGAGAAAAATTCAAGGGCACTAATGAAAGTGAATATATGACATATGCAAGACATGTAAATTCTAAGCTAATTGCTTTTAAGGCCTCATTTGAAACAATTTGGTAGTCAGAACTTAATCACTGGAATTTGATAAAATCATGTTCAGATTTAAGAAATACTTATTCCATTGGGAATTGGGCAAAACACATTGCATATAGAGGGCTTGATGTTTCTGCAATTTTGAATGGGAATTCCAGAACTATAACTTTTTAGATCCCAAACTTGGGTTTCATGCACAATTCCAGGCAACTCCCTTATTCTGGAGAATAAGAGGAAATTCCAAATGAGGCCGAAATTTGTGGCAAATGCATTCCCATCCATTGTTTCTTTTATAATGCAGTTTTCAAAAGTTACCCTTCCTAAAAAACTTGATTATTGGTTTGAAGGAAAATCACTGAGCAATAATGAAATGCTTACTACAAAAAAGTCTTCTATTTTTTTTATCCATTCAAATTTTGACATGGAGGGAATTAGATAAAGGAATTACCATACCTCCACATAATTCACATGCAATGTAATTTACGTTAGGTGTAGATTCTAGTTCACTACAGAGGCAGCATTTTGGTGAATCAGTGGTGTCACCCAACTCGCCTGGAAGAACAATAAGTCTTTTTCTTCTAAAAAGTTCGACTCGCTCATCATTAGGCTTCTGTGAAAGCAGGAGGCCATTCAGCCAGTAAATACGACAGAACTGTGTTCTTTTCTTCTGCGGAACAACATCTGCTGGTTTCTTGAAAGTGCCTTTTCTTGATCTCGTTTTCTTTTTCCTTGGACGCCCAACCTTCTTTTTAACTTTTTTCTCTTGCACATGGAAAATTTTAGCTGTCCTAACAGATCGACGAAGAGGAACAACAACAGAAACTTCGGTAGTATTTTGAGAATGTGACTGTTGTTTATCCTTGGTACCCTTTCTCTTCGTTGTTGGACACACACTCCTCAAAGTTTTGGATGTTTTCGTACTCTTTTTTGCGATCAATTTGACCTTCTTGGCTTTGCTTTTATGATGCTTCCCATCCCTGCACTTGTGGCATGTATACATACATTCAGATGCAAAAGCTGATCCAGACCTTTTCACATGTCTTTTGTGGAAAAAACCTGAAAAGAGGTGCAGAATATAGAAGGAAATCTGAATCAACTTAATCTACAACATTTATTATAATATATTTCATATAGAATTAAGTCTGATCTTCAGCATTTATTGTAATATATTTCATATATAATCCTACCTTGAATAGATTAGAAATTCCCTGTATAAATTGTATACTCTGTCCATCAATAAACTATGCAGTTACATATCAAATTTCGCCCTCTCTAAAATCCTTTACAGAAGACCGTTTAAGTACTACTGTTGTCAAATACGTAGTATTAAAGAGTACAGGTAGGGAAAGGTGAGAAAAAGTAACTCACTCGCAAATACTACTCACAACCACCGATAAGCCCATACAATAGAACTCTTAAAGAGGTAGGAGGAGATGAATGTATTATTAACCTCAAAGTCAAAACAATTGAAAAATATATTAGGTACCACATAATTTTTTACCTAATACTAGTATATAATACCTAGATACCCAGAGGCCAAAACTCTTGATACCCATAGTTCCTAGTTCATGTAGCAGAATAGCAGTCTCATAACTTGTACAAGTAAGAAATTACTTACTTTTCTATTATACTGCTTACAAAGTAGTCAGTGCAGAAAATAAATAGTTTCACGACAAAGAATCATTACATTATGTAGCGGCCTAACTATTTAAACTACATAAATAAAGCACATAGCATTCTTAACAGGAATACGATAGGAAGTTATTTACCTTTGCAGTCCGAACAGCTAACAGCTTCACTGCAAAATTAATGAATAATTAGTGGATAGAAAGAGCCAAAGTGGATTTCAAAGAAAAGGAACTAATTATATATTCCATCCTAATATAAAGAATAGAGAATGGACCTATGCTAGTATGCCATAGTCATAATCTCAAAAAGGGGAGGGGAAATGAGAGAAATAATAGATGCAAATGTTGGAAATTTATTAAGGAATATGGCTCAAGTATTCAACATGATCCTTGATAATATTACTTTTAATAGGTGTTGTGAAGTTTAATTAAAATAATACTCCCTCCATATTTTAAAGTTTGCTAAACTTTCCTTTTGGGGGTGTATTTAAAAGTTTGCCACACTATCCCCTTTTGAGAAGTTTCCCTTTAAAAATACTCAATTACTCTTACTTTTTCTATTTTTATCTTCTCTTTCATAATTTACACCTCTCCTACATTTTTACACTATTCATTACCCAATTTACCCCTACTACTTTCCTCCTTAAATAATGTGGCAAAGCCATATGTAGCAATCTTTAAAATACGGAGGCAGTTTAAAGGATGAAACGAAAGTATAACTATTAAATTATTATATATATAAATTACTTCTTCCTTGCGATTAAGTAATGATTATTCATTATTGACTTATATTAATAATAACAATTAATGGTCATGACTAAATGGCATGTATGTATGCCAATTAAAATGACAAATTTGATTTGTTAAGAAGTTAATGAATCGATGATTAAATGTGGCCGCCATTAGACGTGTCTAGTAGCCATCATTTTCAAATTTTATCCTAATTTAAAATTTTTTTAAAAAAAGATACCAAGAAGAAACACATATGTTACATCTTACACTTATGGTGGTACGTGTAAGTATGACTATTAGGAAGAGTTGTACCTCTTCAGGTATTTGACTATAAATAGCCAATGAGTTGAGCATTGAAGGCATGAAAAATTGATCAATCAATTTTATGTCTTCTCATCTTGGATATAGACACAAGGTCATTAATGGTGTCAAGTTTCTACGTGAAATTCTATAAATATTTATATGTGTAATATCTTTGATATTTCATCTTGGATATAGACACAAGGTCATTAATGGTGTCAAGTTTCTAAGTGAAATTATATAAATATTTATGTGTGTAATATCTTTGATATTTCAAAGTGGCCTGAAATATTGTAAACTCTATTACACTAAATGAAAATTAAATCTTTACGATACTTTGAATTATGTACATCTATTAGGAAAGAATTGAGCATGTTTTGTGTTTTAAGAAATATGGCTCAAGTGTTCAATATGATCCTTGATAATATTATTTTAATTAGGTGTTGTGGAGTTTAATTACTTCTTCCTTGTGATTAAGTAATATTAATGACTTATGTTGTTATTATTATTAATTAATGGTCATGATTAAATGGCATGTACTTGTGCCGATTAAAATCCCAATTTGATTTTTTAAAAAGTAAATGAATCAATGACTAAATGCGGCAGACATGTCTCGTCGCTACTACTCCGTATTTTCAAAATTTTATCTTACATTAAATTTAAAAAAAAAAAACTATGTAGAAGAAACACATCTATTAAATCTTACACTTATGGTTGTACATATAAGTATCACTATTAGGAAGAGTTGTATCTCTTCAGGTATTCTACTATCTATGAGTTGAACATTGAAGACATGAAAAGAATGATCGATCAATTTGTTATCGTCTCATCTTGTCCTGCTTTATTTCTATTATTATTTGTGGTTTCAGTAATAAAGTATTTAGGCTCCTTTATATACAAATTACTTGTTTAGTGTTATTTTTCAGGAGCCAAATTCCAAAATACCCAATACACCTTATACCACAAGTCTATCATATAACCCGGATATAAAAAGGGCAGATCGTAGGCTTTTGTTAAACTATACATGGTGTATTTTCATTTTAAGTTAATACTCCACTATATATAAGGGCTAAAATAATTCCAGTATAAGACTAACTAGCAGGAGGCTGGTAACAGCTGCATTGACATCATTTATAGCAATATACCTTATGAGCACGCCCTTGTTACAGTGCCCACATTGATAGTTCTCAGCTTTCTCTGCTTTTGAGAAAAGGTATGAGAATCCCTTGTTCTTGAACGGTTTCTTTACTATTATTTTATTCTCCCGAATATTTGAGGAAGTCATCTTACTGGACCTTCGAGCAATCCTTTTTTCCTCAAAGCCTTTCAAGAGGTGCAAGGGAACATAGGTTTCCTCCAGCCAATATTTTTTCTTTTCACTTGATGACTCTTCAAGCTTGGACCCATACTTCACAACGACATCGGGAATAAACCTTCTTTTGCCAAAATCGAGGAGATACTTAACAACTGGTCCCTCGGAACACTTTTTTCGAATTACCGCTTTTTTGAAGAATCTTATTGATTTTTGAAATTCCTTGTCAACAATTGATAAAATATTCGCATTCCCAATATGATTCCATCGAATATTTGCATCAAGATCTCTGACCTAGTACAAGTAAAATTGATTAGACCAAAAATAAAATAGATTGTGCAATCTACAACTATCTGGTTCTAACTGCATAATAAATCTGAGTTGAAGTGTTTGAATTGGAAAATAGAGGACCAAAATAACAATTTCTCAAATAGAAAAAATAACCCGCAATATGTATGTATGCATATTCCTACAAGCAGCAACTCTTTGAGGCCGTTGCACACTAAATCAACAAATAACAAACGCATGTGTAAATAACCTGCAGAGCAAGCTGCTCCACACTCTTAGATGTCTCAACAGCAGCTTTCCAAGCTACAGACTTACTTCTCTTGGCAAAATCTGAACCATCAGGATATAGTATGCCAGGTATCTTCTTACACCCACCTGCACTTCATTACCTCAATGTATTATGTAAACTACTGAAGGGAAAAGATCTACCAGGTCACACGTAGTAAGAGGAATAAATAATCACCCAGACCTAGTCGAGCAGCTTTGCAAGCCAATGAACGAGGCAAAACTTTCCAACTAAAAATTTGACGAGAAAGCCTACCACCCCTCCACCATAATAAGCCCAACCCACTTCCAGCAATTGAAGATGAGTTTGACTCCTGTTCTGAACGCCGGGCCTTCTTTTTCATGATGACATGTCTAGAAGATACACGTGAGGAACCGGTCACAATATGACAAGCAGACCCTAGTGTAGCTATAGAATCAACATGTTTAAGCCAGTTGGCTGAAAGCGCCAGCTCACGCAAGTTTGACTCTAGCTGGCAAGGAAAGTACAGTGTCAGAAATCTATTTTAAGTTATCCCGAAAACAAAAACACAAGAGATAGATAATATTAGGGATGAGAAGGAAAAATGCTTAATAGATGAGTATAAAATATACGCATCAAAATGATTTGACAAACATAAAAACAAACATAACATAGATGCTATGTTATGTGCTTTCATTTTGCATCAAATGTGAATGCTAAAAGGTCTTCACGTACTGAAGAAACAAATCCTAAACCATCCCAGCTAGTGTTGGAGTATATCTTAGTTGAGAGTTAATATCTTATACCCTGTCTTAAAGCACCTACAAACCTAGCCAATTATACGAACAAAATGCTACAAGGGGTTAAAGAGATATGAAATGAGATCTTTCAGTGCGTCCTTGATAAATGTAACACATAAAGTAATAAACTGATAAAACCTTACTTTTAGCAATAAAACTCTTAGTGAGGGAACATCACATGCATTCAGAACACCTTTCAGCCAGATTTGGGAGTACATAGGATTCAACCAAGAACCCAACAAGAGTCCATGTAAACGCCTTTCCATGCAAAGGATATGGCATATGAGATCAATAAGATGGCATTCCCTGTTCTTACGCAAACTAACGCCTAATGCCTCGATGGAAAATCTCTCTTGGTCTAGGCCAGTATCATTCATTAGAAACAAGCAGTCACGTTCACATTCAGGAGCTCTGCAAGTGTAACACCATCCACATTTTTCTTTCCTAGAAGAATCATTTAATTTCTGAATATTTGGCCAGTAAAAGTAGGTAGATTTATTTGATATGGCTTTAAGCTGAGATGAAATTACTTCCTCCTCTGATCTTAAAGCATTTTCAGTAGGTTTATTATCCAATGGGTTATGGGTTAAATGCTCAACAATAGCTGAAGATGTTTGAGCAAAACTATAAAAGTTCATGTAAGTGTCTATGCACTGAAGCTTTGGCATTATAGCTCCTGAACTTGATTTCCATGATCCATCCCTGGTGCTTGTGCATCCATTAGCATTTGCCTCTTCAAACAAATGATTTTCATTCTCAATGTTGCGGGAAAGTTCAGAATTATCTGACATCCCAGTTCCATTAGAATTTTCATTGCTTACACATGCTTGAAACACATTAGCAGGCCCTTCAGAACATCCGCTTAGACTTTCCATCTTTGTTGAAGGGTTCTCAGTCTCTGGCTTCTCACATCCTAGATCATTAGTACATGGAGGGATCATTAGCATTTTCACCGGGTTACCCCCACCAAATATATTATTGCTATGTTGCATTGGTATTGCTGGAATACCGCTGCAAATAACTGTGGGCTGCGAGTCAAGATAACTTTTTGCCTCATTATTGACAGAGGATACATCCCAAAGTCTACAAATTGAATTCAGCAAAGTATCATAACCGATTTCCGATAATTTAAGCGCCCTCAAAACAGCAGGCAAGTCATTTCTGTGATAATACCTAAATGATGACTCATCATCCCATGAATCAGACCTGCAAGAACCAAAGATAAAACTTCAGGGTTATTGCAATTGACCAATATTGTAATGGAGGGCTAGCCAAAGATGCAAAGATGAACAAAAATGAAGAGCACGTGGTGATTTACACAAACGTACACACTCGAAAAGATGCCAAATGAAATTACAAAGAGCCTACAGTAAGTTTGGATGACTTAGCAAACAAAGTCAAATGGCACACTAAAACAAATCATAAAACCACGTTTAATGCTCTCTGAAATTAAATTAAAAATGAGGCGATGAAACAAGCACAACTTTTTATGGGAATTTGGGAATATAAAAAGAAAGTATGCTCGATCGTGGAAGAAATTAGCGCAAAATCCCTAACTCCAATTTCAATGAACAGTGGTAAATACATATTAAGTATTAAGTTCTTAATGTTGAAACTTCATGAGGAAAGAAACTTACACCAAAAGATAACTACAGCAATTAAAGTACAGTCGCCCATAAGGATCTATTCCCAACAATTCAGCTCCTCTAACTGAACCTGCTACTTTCATCCAGGGAACCTTTCTATGAATGACACATTCAGGGCAGAACCAATCTCCCTCTGGCAGAAGACTATTGACGATACCCACACACTTGGAATGGAAAGCAGCAGGGCAACCATCACAGCATATTAAGTTCCCATCCATTTTACAGAGGCAGCACTCATCACTGTTCCCATCAGCAGGTTCGTCTCCCAGCTCCTCGGTCAAACATGAACCAGCAGCAGCATCCACTGCAGACCTTCTTTTCTTCAAAATGTCAAACTTCATATTTTGATCAAGATCATTATTTGCCTCACTCGCCACTATTCTCTTGCTGAGCTCTGACCTTATGACCTCAATTTCAATCACATCATCGCAAAGACAACGCAAAATATCAATCTTCACAGCAGCTGATTGCTTGTAGTAGTCACACTCAAATAGTTTTAGGTGACAAAGATCAAAACCAGATTTCAGTCCTGAACTATGCATAAGCAAATATTCAACCATGAAGATAGGCCATGTAATCGTGTCTAGCAAATCCCAATTAAGAGACCTGATTGTTCAATTTAAAATGCAGCACTGTAAGCACCCATAATGTTAAACACATCAATAGAAAACTACGCATAGATTAAAAGAAATTGGAAATAAATACCTAAGGCATTTAGAAGCAGACTGAGAACCTTCACTAGAGAGGGTCTCCAAGTGCTTCCTCAGCATTTGTAGAAGAGAAACGTGAATGGAATCAAACAATAAAGTGGGGGTGCTGCATTTGATGGATGCCACAAAATTCTCCAGCTCGAAGGGGCTCAAAAACAATATGGAACTAAATGACCGCAAAAAGACATACAAGGAGAAGATATCCAGCACAGAAATTCCAAGTAAATCCAAACTATTTGAAGAAGGCGGCAGCACAGGCTTTGGGGGGAGAACATTTTGGTCCTCAAGGACTTCATGACCTGACGTTGTAATTTTCTCATCTGAAACCACACTAAGAGAAGGAGATGATAGATGATCAATGCGTTCATCTGACACCACGGCTTGAGGAATGCTATCTTGGGTTGACAAAGCTTCTCTAGCTCTACGAGTACTTCTTCTCAATACTGTCTCTGTCATACCATGAGGAGCATCGGGAAGCAGTTTTCTCTTCCTAACAGGTGTTCCTTTTTGTACACCTGAACACGTACCATTTCCCAAGACATCTTTGAGGATAGCCACATCTCCAAACTGAATGTCAGCTCCCTCTAAACCATCATCCTCAAATCTATTCTCAACCAAACCACCACCCAGATCCACTGACAGGTTTTCTACGCTATTGCAGCAAAATGCCTCGGCAAGAGAGCCATTCTCATTTGTTTGAGTTTCTTCATCATCTTGATAAATGGTAATTCTCTTCAATTTCACATTGCCATCAGTGTCTAAGTTCTTAGTTTCTTCATCCAATCCTAAATTCAAATCAAAAGAATGTGACATTGCTTCAATAAGCTTAGGGGCACACCCCAATGACTCATTTTTCTCAATATTTCTGTCAATTCTTCCATTCTCATCCATGTTCATAGCAATATTATTAGCTCTCTTCAAATTCATTTTATCGTTCCCTAAATCATCCCCAGGATTGAATTCTACCCCTTTGTTTAAATCCAACCCCTCACTGATATTCAGGTCCAGCTCAACTCCTCTAACACTGCTATCATTATTTAAATTAAGGCCATCATTCAAGTCCAAATTAAAGCCACCATGATGGTTATTATCCGAGTTAAAATTCAAACCTCCGTTTTGAGTTTTTCTAAACCTCGGGCTGCAGTCAGCAAAATTAAGTCCCTTTCCACTTTCATTTGCTTCTGCATTACCCATCCTCTCAACAAGACGCCTTTTCTTCGGCTTCCTACCAACACAAGATGACTTCTTTGTGAGGTTAGCTTCAGCAGGTTCCGATCCTTCCAGCAGAGGTGCGAGCTCGGAAAGGTCAAGCTCTTCAAAATCTCCGTCCTCATAAACGACCTCAAAGAATCCACTTTCCGAATCATACGACTTCACCGTACCAGTGAATACTCCGAACCGTTTGAATTTCTTTTTCACAGTTCTTCCCAGGTACTGATCCATTTCTCCCCAAAATTCTAGGGCTCGAACAGAAACGGCCCGTCTCTCTTCGAACACAATGCGGGTGTAATTCTAGAGAGAACTCACCATTTTCTTTCTCTACACTATAGAGTACATGAATCAGAATTCTAACTAACCGTGAAACGCGAAATGGGTGTCGATTCTTCAGAGAACCGGTAATCGAACTAATGAGCTCGGCGGTATGGACTAATGGACTATGGAGTGTTTTGATTCTTTTAGTGCTCTAATTATCTACGCGGACCAAAATGAACAGAGCATAGTTCTGGGTCGTGTGTAACGTCGCTGATAAAAGACTCCCAAATCCCAATTTGGAAGACATTACGGGTCTCTTTGGTCCTCAGTCCAGTATTAAAGTTAGACTTTTATCTGAAATTAAAACGTAAATAATTGTAGAGGAATGATTGGTGTATCCAAAATTTGTACTAATTCTTGTTCTGCTTCTTTTTTAAAGCAGAAGCAGAATCAGAATCAGTTTTCAGAAGCTGGTCACCCTCAGCTTCTAAAAAAACTGATTCTAGGAGTAAATTAGAGGACCAGAATCACTTCTGCACTTTCACCCAAACACCCCAACTTCTGCTTCTGCTCCCTGAAGGAGCAGAAGCAGTTTTAAGAATCAGATCCAAACACCCCCAAAGTGTACACTGTCTGTACAGAAACATTTTGACAACAAATTTTGCCCCCTTTCAACCCCTTTTTCAAATAAATTGATTGTGTACACAGGCAACTGGAGAGGTATAAATTGGGGTACAAATTGGGGTACTTATAGTATTTTCGATAATTGTATTATACGGAGTATGAAATTAAGTGTGCAGAATTATAAAATATAAATTAATAAATTTGAATAAGATGTGACAAAAAAAGTTAAAAACAAAAAATAGAAAATTGAAAAGTTCTATTAGGACAGATGGATTATTATACATCTCAATTTCCATATTTCTGATACACTGATATGAGCCTTTGTCTAGTCTAGTATAAAAATGTGTTATTTTTTAAATACAAAATAGACATCTTTTATATTCATGTTAGTATTTTATTGGATAGAAGATGATCAAAAAGTTATGGTTTTTATTTATTGAACACTTGTTCTTACAAAATGAGCAAATGTTTGAGAGAATCACAAAATTATTCTGATAAAAATTATACCTCATTGTTCGTGCATTTTTCCATTAATTATTGGCTCTTGATAAAGATTTATGCGTGAATTATCAGATATACCTGAATATTATTTTATTTTTTGATCATTTCTTATCTCATTTATCATATGTTCATTTTATAACTAACTAGTGTTTACTGTTTAGGCAATTAAAGCATTGCCCTACGTTACGAACTACTGAAAAGAAAACATTAATATTAAAGCGGATTGTATTCCTCGCAGAGTTGCTTGCCTGCGTAGGATTGTAGGGTTTAGTTTTTTCCGCCGCATAAGTGTGCAGACAGTTTTTCCCTTATCATGAGGATGGAGATGCCTGTTTCTTGAATTTGGATTCTCAATCAACACCTAAGGTACATCAGTTACCAGGTGTAGCTCTCCATAGCAGTCTTCCTTGTGCTTAGAGCAAGACTTGTAGCCGCGATGGGGCCTGAAACGGCGGCCGCTACACTTGTGGTATCACCGGTGGTGACTACAACGTCATTTGTTTTGGCCTTCGATCTATTGATCTTGAATGAAGAAGATGAAGTGTTGATGATCCGGCCTCCTTCTGAGCCGCCACCATTGAGTGAGTGAGTGAGTGAGTGAGTGAGTGACTAGGGTTTGTTTTAGTTTTACTTCAAGATTTTTTATTTCAAAAAACTATTTACCTTATTTTTGAATTGCTTGTGTTAGTGGCAGTCTTGATTTATCTAGTTTAGCTATGATCAGAAGAATTAAGATTTTTATAGCCATTGATTGCTTCAAAGTTCCTGTATGTTCAGCCGTGAAAAAGTGACTACTTTGGAAAAATCTATGTCAATAGCTAAACTTCCAAACTTCCAATGGAACTAAATCGTTATACTTATGAGATCTAAGTATTGTATTTCACTCTTTTCCATTATGATAGTTGGGTTGTCTCTTTTTGTTCTTTATCACAATCACATTCCTTAACTTATTGTCAGACAATAGGCGTGAGATTCTGGTTCAAATAAAATAACACTTAACTTGTAATTGCACTTATACTCTAGTGGTTTGCACCTGTATATAGGAATAATGTACTCTTTGCGCTTAAAAAAGTTTTTTAATAAATATGTGGTTTTTTTCACTAGCGAAGATTGCAACAGATTGACATATAAGTGCAATACATGTTTTGCAATGTTATGATGACTTAGAAAATGTATCTTTCGGACACTATGAAGAATAATGACATAAGTATTACACCTACACTTCCCAAAGTAAGAAATATGACGGTTCCCCCCGTTCACTTCGGCCGATTGCTGGTGCCGGAAACCAATTCGGTCAGCAACTGTCGGAGAAAAGCTTGTTGCAGTTTTTTCCAGATTTTGAATTCACAGAAAATTATTGAAAGTTCTACAAGGGGAGTGACAATGAGAGTAATTGGTCAGGAGCCTAATAAATCAAGAGTAATTACTTATGACTTATGTAAAGGTGTTTACAAAAATTTGACACCTTAAATATAGTGACTATAATAGTAATCAGGGATGGAGCTACCCTTATGGGTAAGGAGCCTCACCCCCTCCAACTTTTCATTCTTTTTACAATACTAATTAATTTTTTGGAGTAGTTAAATGTTGCTCCGTACTATGTAATATATTTATGAAATAATGGCCTAGATATTACTTCTAAGGTTTCATTAGATAAAAATGTGACTAATTTAGGGAAAGACAAAAAAGTGAGTTAAAAGGCTCAAACGTATGTAACCTTTTTCACCGCCCAATTCTCTCCATCTCCAAAGCTGTCCGCACAAACGTCACCATCTCCCAAGCTCTTCATCTACCAGATCCAATTCAGCCTCCAACGATAAATTAAAGAAGGACAAAGATGCAGCGGATGTGACAGGTTGCACCGCCATTTCGTGGCTCCGGTTCCCCCTTTTTGATGTGACATTTTTGAGCGGGAAAATGCCCAAAAAATTCACTTACTTTTATATAGATATAGATTTCATAAACATTACAATTTCCATGACTAATATAATTACTAATCCAAATACATTACAATGAACATAATCATAAGCATTTTCATTAATCTGAACATAAAATTTCACGTTAATATAAATACAAAAGTAAATACAAATTGTACTCCATTACATAACGATTCTTTAGTGCTTCAATCACATATTTTTAGTAGGAATCGAGAAACCAATTGTTAATAAAGACTAGAAACTGAACTGTTAAGAACTAGTAATCCAATAGAAACTAAACCGGTTCAAAATGATTTGGATCTAATCAATTGTCTAGGTCTCGATTCTAAAATCTCATCCATAGTCATACTTTCTATCTATATGCAGAACTAATCACCGTTTGGAATTGAGCTTTATATACTACTCCCTCCATTTATGTAAAGTTTTTTTTTTTGAAAGGAAAAGCTTATATTAAGATCAAACGAACCAAAATAACAAACATGTCCCAAGACCTACATCTCCCTCTCTCTAAACAATACCAAAAGCTCATCGGTCCCCTCACGTCATGATCAAACATAGAATAGTCCACCCCGGATAGAGCGAGACTAATCACTGAAACGGTGAAGGCAAAGAGGCTATTAGCGGCTGAGTCAGCCTGATTGCCTCCCAACAGAAACCTATCTAATGAAAAAAACCAAGCATTAACCCTACCCCCTTATTGTTCGAAATGACGATAACAACAGAGTTCATAATTAAAAAACTCAAAAAGAGTAAAATAGAATTAATTAAAATAAACTGATGGAGCAACTGAATCCATACTTCAAGCTTCATCCTTGGCGGTGGTTCAAGAGGGGGACGAATCATCAACCCTTCATCTTGAAATATTCCCTGCAAACCCACTGCCACAATTTCCAGTGGCTCCTCCTTACCCCATGTAACTATAGCACGAGTGAACCAACAAGCCATGTCCCAGCCACAGAAACAATCAAACCATGAGACCTTATTCATGGAGTGTAAAGCAGAAGACCAGCAGCACATATATACCTTAATCGAGTCCCCCCAATGGAAATTAATGCCAAAAGCAAGGAGATCATAACGCTGGCACTTCATCTAGTAAAGTCGATTGCATCGAACGCCCAAATCTTGAGAGCCTTGATCGTGTCTCGATTGAAGCTTCTCAATCGCCGCCCAACCTATGCGAAAACCATCAAAACAGAAGGTGATTCCAACCACCAATCCCTCTGACTCACGCAATCCAGGAATCTCAAGTAGTCATGCCCTGAAGAATGAAATGGGCATAAGAGACCGGACTAGTGCACCTCCACTAATCCAAATCATCGTCTTCCATATTCATTCCATTGCGCTACCCATTGAAACATTGACCAAAAACATCAAGCAACAAATCGGCATAAGTCGTCGGCCGGAGAGAAAACCCTTCCATTCATGTAAAGTTCTCACTTATATTTGTAGACGTCTCATCTAAAGGTTTTTATGTTTTTATTTAAGAAAACAATTAACACTCTAAATAACAACTTAATCATCACATATTAAAAATGTTATATTCATAATATTACAATGATCATCGATTACGTCATTAAACTACACACTCACCCACCTTTCAAAAAAAAACACCCAAACTACTTTCCAAGAGATACTTAAATGAAAAAATTGATAAGAATAATCACACATTTGACCGATCTTCTCATAATAATCCCACATTTACTTAATCTCATAATAATCCCACTTTTACACCTCATCTTCTTTCGTTGGACCCTGACTTATTGGTGACCTGCTATACCAGGTTTTTTGCGATTTTTTTTTAAAAACTTGCATAAATAATCTCACCTATCACAAATCTACTCAAAATAGTCCCATGTTTCATTTTTGTTTTTTCTCCGTACAATTTATCTTTCTTTATTTTATCCATAGACACTTTTTTTTTATTTCTTTTTTCATCCTTTTGTTCTTATTTCTTTTCCAAGTTTATTACTATATTTATCACTCTATAAGGAGAGTTTTTTTTGTAAAATTTCCTTCCCAAATACATTTTTCTGTCATTTTCTTTTTCTTCCCGTATTTTTATTTCATTTCCCCTTTTTATGTTTCTCTTATTAGTAATCCTCTTTTTATTAAAGAGGTTTTCCCACTCAACTTTTTGTTATATTTTCTTCTTATTTTCACTTTTCCCCTTTTTCTTCTTGTTACATTTTTTAATGTTTCTTCTTGTTTCTTCCTTTCTTTGTTCTTGTCATCTTAATTAAATCATCAATATATTTTCTCTCCTTTCTTCATTATCATATTTTTTTAAAGTAAATTCACCCATTAATTCCATCAATTGTGGGAAAAAATGTATATGATAAAAAGATTAGAGAGAGAGGGAAATTCAATAAAAATTAAAATATTCAGGAAATGTAAATAAAAATAAAACATTCATGAAATGGAATATTTTCTTTCTAACATATCACCGAATGTTTATTTTTCATTCAATTTTATTTGTCCCCTAATCTTCTTGTCACATAGAGTTTTTTCCATATTTGATGAAATTAATGAGTTGACTTACTTAGAAAATACAATAATGCAGAAAGGAGAAAAAATAGATGGATGGTGAAATTAAGATAGCAAGAAGAAAGAAGAAAAACATAAAAAAGGTAACATGAAGAAAAAAGGGAAAAGTGAAAATAAAAAGAAAATATAACAAAAAGAAATAGAGCAAGAAAAAGATCTTTATCAAAACGGAAAAATAATTAATATACCCCAAACTTTGGAGGGGTGTGAGATGAACACCCCAAACTTACATACGTAATTTACATACCCCAAACTTTATATAAAAAGTTATTTTGGCACCATAATCAAGTACGGATTGGGGTTTTTTATGATCCGTGTCTAAAAAATGTGAATCACAAGTGTTAATATTAAATTGTCATCTATATATTAAGGAACTCGTGGTCAATTTCACAACTCGTGTTCATGATATAGGTTGATTGCATAAAATTCGTGTGATTGTGCCCTTATTGGGTTAATTTGGAGGTTTATGATTCGGGTCTAAAAAATGTGAATCACAAGTATGGATATTAAAATTCCATCTATATGTTAAGTAAATCATTGTCAATTCTACAACTCATGTTCATGATATAGGCTGATTACATTTCAAATGATTGTATCCCTACTGGGTTGAATAGGGGTTTTTATGACTCGAGTCTAAAAAATGTGAAACACAAGTGTGAATATTAAAAATCCATCTATATATTAAGTAAATCATTGTCAATCTTACAACTCGTGTTCATGATATATGCTAATTTCATTTCAGAAGATTGTATCCTTACTAGGTCGAGTTGGGGTTTCTATGATCCAGATCTAAAAAATGTGAAACACAAGTATTAATATTAAACTTTCATCTATATATTAAGTAACTCGTGGTCAATTTCACAACTCGTGTTCATGATATATACTGATTGTATAAAATTCGAATGATTGTGTCCTTACTAGGTCGAATTGGAGGTTTTATGATCCGGGCCTAAAAAATGTGAATCACAAGTATGAATATTAAAATTCCATCTATATGTTAAGTAAATCATTGTCAATTCTACAATTCGTGTTCATGATATAGGCTAATTTTACTAGGTCGAAGATTGCATTTTCCATAATACCCAAAAATATATAAAATCAAAAACTTTTACAATTTTTTAAAAACATATATTCAGAATTAATAATTCCGCCACGAATTAAAAAAACAAAAAAAACCCTAGTCTGAAGTGCCATATACGAATGTAGGAGAACCCTATTTTTTCAAAACTTTATTTTAAAAAGCATTTAAAATAAAAAACTTTTACAATTTAAAAAACTTTAGAGTTAATGACTCAAATATGACTAATAGCAAAGTTAATTGCACAATTAGGACCACATACGAAACACAACTTTCATAGGATCAAATTCAATACAGTTGGACAAAAATACCCCTCTTTTATTTTTTTAAATTATAAAACTGTAAAATAAAAAATTATTGAAACCCTAGCAGTAGCACTGCCGCCACAAGAGCCAAACCGCCTGCCGCCACCCCTCGCCGACGCAACCTGCCGCCACCCCTCGCTGGCGAAACCTACCGCCACCCCTTGCCGGTGAAACCTGCCGCCACCCTCTCCGGCGACGGCCCCCCTATCGCCGCCCTCTCCGTCTATTGTTTGCAACTGCATCCTTGCCGACACACCATCGCCGCCCCTTGCCGCCTCACACACCAGCGTCACCATCCACCCAAGTCACCATCCTCTGAGCACCGCCACGATAGTGACAACTCAAGCGGAATAATTTGCCATTAACTTGGCAGATTTAGCATTGGGGATTAGATTCACTTCTGCCATGAACAAATGCTTCAGATCTACCAAAAAAGTTGGCAGATTCAATTTGGCATAATAACACAAAACTGCCAAAAATTTGGCAAAAAAATAACACGAAGTAAATAACCAAATATTCAAACAACTAGTTTTTTTAATGGAACAAGCATATTAACACAATCATAAATTAGAAAAACGAAGCTATTGACAAAAAATAGAAAAACCAATTTATACAAAAGCATTTCTTCCATAATATGATTGTAAATGTACACATTTTTGCCACAAACTTGGCCAAATCTGAAGCAATCATCCAAAAATTTATGAAAATCGAATTTTTTTTAAAACTCTGAAATTAAAAACCAGAACATCGAAATAGAAGTTTGAAAAACCAGAACATCGAAATTTGGCAAAACAGAAGTCCAAAAATTGGAAAATTCAATTCAAAATCCAGAAAAACAGAGGAAAATCGAAGAAGAAGAAGAAGAAGAAGAAGAAGAAGAAGAAGAAGAAGAAGAAGAAGAAGAAGAAGAAGAAGAAGAAGAAGAAGAAGAAGAAGAAGAAGAGGAAGAGGAAGAGGAAGAGGAAGAGGAAGAGGAAGAGGAAGAGGAAGAGGAAGAGGAAGAGGAAGAGGAAGAGGAAGAGGAAGAGGAAGAAGAAGAAGAAGAAGAAGAAGAAGATGAAGAAGAAGGAGGAGGAGGAGGAGGAGGAGGAGGAGGAGGAGAACCTTAATGGCAGCGGTGAAATCGGCGGCGTGAGAGGAACTCGATCGATCTGGTGCGCAAGGTGAAGTCGACGGCGGCGGCGATGGCCTAGGTAAAGCCGATCGATGATGCGCAAGGAAGAAAGAGAAGACGTGCGCAGGGGAGAAGGGGAAACGGTTGTGCGCAGGGGAGGGGAGATGTGCTTAAAGGGATAAGGGGGTAATAATGGAATGAAATATACGAATGTTTTAAAATAGGAGTAAATAAATCCTATTTGGGAAAAAAAAAACATACATAGTCCTATTTGAGAATTTGTCTTCTCTTTTAGTCCTATATGGGGCAATTACTTAAAACTCTATACAGAATTAACAATTCCGACAGGAATTAAAAAAAAACAAAAAAAACTTTATTTAAAAAATATGGCAGGAATTTGAAAAAACTTTTGAATTTGGAATTAACGGAATTTAAAACTTTAGTTTAAAAAACTTTGAAAATCAAAAGCTTTTACATTAAAAAATCAAATGCTTTTACTTTGAAAATTTGGAATTACATCAAAAGCTTTGAAAATTATCAATTCGGCCACTAATAAAAAAATAAAAAGAAACCCCCTAGTCGGAAGTGGCAAATCCGACAGGAGGATGCCTATTTTCAATATATTCTCGCACTCCCCTCCAGTCGGAATTAGAGAATCCGACTCCCCCTTTTTGGTAACCTAATTGCATGTCCCGTAAAATGGCTTGTCATACAGCAAAGTCCGTAATTTGGTAATTTCCTCTCTCCCCCGTGCATTACGTTTCCCAGAGCTGCGTATCTCCAAGACTCCAATTAAGCGGACGACCTCCACCACCTCCGCCACATCCACACAACCAATATTCCTTTTCCTTCGATCTTTGCGCTTATCTCCAAGCGGACGCCCTCCACCATCGCGCCGTTCACGCCGCCGCCGCCTACCACGTCTGTAATGTTCAAATCCAACGTTGTCGTCAGGTGAGTTGCAGGAGGAGGTGCGGTGGTTGAATTAGGCAATTAGCACATTTGTCGGCATCCTTTTCTTCTTAATCTGTTCGATTTTGGGGAGCTTCATCGCCATCTTTAACATTCCAGATCTGGATTGGGGGTGGTGGTGTAGCAGCGGTTGAGGGAATCTCAATCGACGGGGCTAGGTTTGGCAGTGTAAAGGGGGCTAGGGAGAGGGCTAGATAGGGGAGGTGGCTGCTGGAAGCCGGAGATGAAGCTCCGGAAATGGCGGCGGTGGCTGTTGGTTGCCGGCGGCGTTGTGCAGTGGTGGTTGCGGGAGATGTGAAAGGGTGATGTGTCCATTTGGTCACTATAGGGCGTTGATGGGTCATTGACGGTGGTGGCCAGCAGCCGTGGTCGGTGGTGGTGCTGGTGGTGTACAGTTGAACTTGTGACGGCAGTCACTAGCTGGAGGCGGAAGTAGTCAGTGACAAGGGGCAGAGGCAGTCATTGAAGAGGGGCGGCGGCTGTCATGCCCCAGACCGCATCTAAGCGCGTGTACAATCGCCGTATGATCAAACGACGTCAGTCGCAAGTCAACTTCACTTAATCATACAAGGCGTTAGAGAAAATAATCCACCCATACTCAGTAGTAAATATACATATCAACATCACATTTAAACCAATGAATAGCTGAAATATTCAACGGTAAATCATACGCCACAACCGGCCAAGACATGGACATGCAAACCCTAAAATAGTTTATAAAAAATTTAAATATCCATGAGAAATTGTTTGGTTGTTGGAAAAAAATAAGGAAGCACGAACCACGTGTTCCTAGAGTTGATGTCACCCGTCGAAGGTGCAGGTAGCAAGCCCTAGCTTCAACCTGAAAATGGTGGGGGGCCCCGAAGGGGTCGGTACAAGTATCGAGCGAGTAGCAAGCTAAATGAAGCATAACTAATGTTTTAAGTATAAGGCCCAAACATAGGGTGATACATATACTTATATCCCTTTCCCCGAGTCTTGAAATACATATAAGTATATACACTTGGAAAATACTTAACCCGTAGGTTATCGTTTATTTGGGAAAAATAGTAGTCAAGTCCCTGACTTAAACCCCAACCCACCCATATACCTATGAGTGTATATGACTCCTCCTTGTCCACAATTTTTAATCAAGTCTATGAGTTTTAAGGACAACAAAATACTTGGGTACTCCACCAATATACATATGAGTTTTGAGGACTCTTTAGTCCTTGGGTCCTCCATCGAAATATTCATATATTCCAAGTTTTGAAGACTCTTTAGTCCTTGGGTTCTCCACCATATATATATATATATATATATATATATATATATATATATATATATATATATATATATATATATATTGTTGGAAAAATGTGTTAAAAATTGCATTAAGTGGTCATTTTGGGGCAATTATTTGAGTGGGGTCCACTTCCGATTTGAGTCGGGTCAAAGTGGTTTCGGATTGTCCTTGTTAAGGGCTACAATTCGATATATGGTACGCTCAAAACGGATAACGGGTGAATGGGAAATTGATTCTCGAAGTTCGCTCGTTGAAATGGAAAAACTGGGAAAATGATGAGTTTCTAGTGTGTTTTATCCACACCGAAAAACTCAAGGGATTTTCACCCCCTTATAAAGGGAAGCCTCTTTTAAGGAGTTAAGATTCCTAAAGGGAAAGGCTCTCTCTTACGCGCAGGGGGGGTGCCGATCAAATCCCGAAACGGAGAAGAAAAACTGTGACTCGTGTGCGCGGGCGACCTGCGGACACGAATGCCGTCCAAAAATCTATCTCTCAAGAGATACGGTTAATGCCCAACGTTCTTCTCTTTTAATGTTGCGTTAAATGGACAGTTTATGGACGATTCAATGCCAACGGACTGGTCATTGATGTCCAACGTTCAGGTCCATTATATAAATAGCTGGCAGGTGCTTTGCAACAAACACGCGGTTTGACAACGCACAACACTTTCCTCACGTTTTCTTGAGCTAAAAACTCTTCCAGCTACTCCCAAAATTCCTTCTGTGTTCATACTTGGTTCTCGTTCGCTGGAACTCTTGTTTGTGTGCTCAAACATTAGTTCGTAGTCATCGTATCCTGGGAAACGATTGTGGCAACGCTCCTAGCACCGTGGGAGTCAACAAATACGTTTTAAGGAAATCGTGCGTAGCACGAGCTTTGACTAATTCTGTTTCATCTCCTTTCCTTTTTTTCTTTAGTCATTTTATTTAATTAATTTATTTTAATTAATTTTCTTTATTTTCCAAAACACACCCAACATATATATATATATATATATATATATATATATATATATATATATATATATATATATATATATATATATATATATATGAGTTTCGAAGATTCTTTAGTCCTTGGGTTCTCCACCAAATATATCCCTATGATCTACCTTGTTCCAAACTAGATAAGGCCTATATCATAATCATTTATACAAGGCTAAATCAATCCATAAAGCCTATGCATATATCAGTCCATGCAAAACCATGCATTCATGTCAATTCACAAGTAAATAGTATCAACTAGTGTCGGTTGTTCCGTAGCCAATCGGTCAACATTCCGTTGACCGCCACTACAAATCTTACACATACCAACTTAATCACCATGTGTATCAAGTTAATAATATCAATTGTCATGTTTCTTTCACTTTCAAGTCAAGCATACATTTTCACAAACATTTCTCATACCATGCTTCATGTATATTCAAGTAATTCATTTCATTCAAGTTTAATCATTTTGACACATCACATGTTTAAATATCCTTTAAACATCATTTTGAATATATATAACATTTAATTAGGTAATCTCATAATTAACCCAAAAGTTATAAGACATTAAGCCGTTCACTCACCTTAAATGAGCTTTAGCGTGTTTTACGCTCCTCAGTCGAACTCCGGCGAAACTTCGGCGAAACTCCGGCGAACTCCGGTGAACTCTAGAAACACTTAAGTTAAGTTCCTAACATGGTTTTATCATCACAAAACCCATATCAATACAAATAACCTCTAAAAGGTTATTTTTCGGCGAACCGGTCGTTTTGGCTTCTAAGTCCGTTCTTGGACTTAGAGGCACCTTCCAACCCCTCATTCTACATTTCTAAACATGTAGAACAGACCTAGGGGTCCTATTATGATCCTCAATATAATGAGGTATTCAATAAAAGGAGAAGAAAAGGTTAATGAAGCCATTACCTTTATTTTCTCAAGCTTTCTACCCTTTTTGCAACTTAAACTCTTTCCTTGAGCTTCTTGCTGGTTGAGCTTCCTTCAACAATGGAGAAATGGTGTTTGCAGGGATGTTCTCTCTCTCTTGGAGTGCTTTGGTCGAGCTCAATGATAGGGCTGGGGTGAGGTAGGCTCCTTTTGTCTCAATTGAGCAAATAAGAGAGGGTGAGGGTCCTCTTTGGTACTTTGATGCCAAATACATCTCCTCCACCCATTTCCTTTGTCAACCAGCCCACATCCTTGTCTCATTCAACACAAAAAAACGTGGGGTGGCCTCCACTCATGTGGTAGGTCATCCCTTTATGTCCCGATGTGTACGACCGGCCCCGAAAGTTGTATTTCTCGGACTATTTTAATTATAATTTATTTTATTGGGTCAAATAAAATATAACACATGTTCCTACTCATTGTAGGCATTTAGAATGGATGTACGTTCCCCAACTTTAATTTTGAAGTCTCCGAAATTTATTTCGGACTGTTATCCGATAAGTTACCTATACCGATAATTGGGTATCATTTGACCGACGGGTTAACCCTGTGCCATTTCTATGGCCCAATTAAAATATCCATCACCATATAAATATAATCTAGACTAAGTTGAATATAATATGAGGTCCCGGGATTATCGGGTGATCCCATCTCCCGATGTGGGCCCCACATGCAATTCACTATTTACGCAAAAAGTAATAACCAAAAAATTTACAACCTCGTAAATTCATAATTCATTATTCAAGGTTCATTACATGATTTACTAAAAGTGAATATACTTGGGGATGATATTACAAGTTCAGTTACTGACGAGGGGATGCGGTCATCACTGATCAGGGCGGTGACAGTCACTAGACAGGGCGACGACGGAGTCAATCTACCAGCCTAGTCACTGGCGGGTCGGAGTCACTAAGGCCGGAGTCATCGTGGTCTAAGTCACTATGATCGGAGTCACTGCGACCGGAGTCACTATGACTGGTGGCGGAGGTGGCGGAGGTGCGGTGCTAGTGCTGATGGTGCATTAAATTTCTTAAATTTCTTGGTAGTCACTATAACCGGCAGCGGGGGCGGAGCACCGGTGATGGGAGCGGAGCACCGGCGGCAGAGGCGGAGCACCGGTGGTGGGGCGCAGAGCACCAATGGCAGGGGAGGGGTTCTGGCGATGGGTGAATCAAGGCTGGATGGCAGCTTTTATTATTAAAAATTAAAAATGTATTTTAAAATAATAAAAGTAATAGTCCGCATGAAATTAAACAAAGAGTAGCTTGGTCACATTTGTGGAAAACTTTAAAAATATGTATATTAATGTCTTTGTATTTCCGTTAGTAATATTCAAATAAAAAGGCCTTTTCCTTCGCCTCCTCAGCGTTCTTCATTTTCCTTTCTTCTCATTCTTTTTCTCCCTTCAAACCTTGCTCCACCACTTGACTAAACGTCATGTTAGGCATTTGCGTTGCCCTCTCACGCACCTCCAAGTCTAAGGCATCCCAGAAGTGATTAACCATTCGGTTCTCGTCGCAAACATATTCTGGAATGAACTCAGCGAGCTCCCTGAATTTGTGTTCAAGTTGCCTCACCGTCAATTTACCACCTTGTGTTAGGAGGGTATACTCTCTCCTCTTAGCGTTTACTTCAAAATCAGAATAGTATTGGTCAAAGAATTCCTATCGGAAATTCTCCCAAGTCACGGTCCCACCGTATTTGCCTTTGACTCCATCCCACCATGTGAACGTCATCCCTTCAAGCAATCTCACCGCAACTCTTAGATTGAACTCAGGGGTGAGTTGCATGTCAAGGGCTACCTCATTCAACCTCTTGACCCATTCAGCGGCGACCGAGATTTCACAGGTTCCATTCGAAGGGTTTGAACCCCAAGTCTCTCACCTCTTTGAGATATTTTGATATCCTTATGATAGGAACCTCGTTACCTCCGCTTCCACGTGGCTCGACATGGGCCCTAGAATAACCAAGGCTCCTTCCTCTTGAAGTCCCTCCCAAAGAACGCCTTGCCCGGCGCCTTTGGCGGTACTGTTGATACTGTCGGAGTAATTCCTCCATTCTTTCCAGAACATCATTATCATCGCTCTCTTCACTCACATCATTATCTTCCCCATCATAGGGGATTTCGACCGACTCAGTTCCCGGTTGGTAAGTTAAATCCTCCTCGGACTCGTATTGCTCGTCAATCGTCTCCACATGACCGTCACTCACGGTCAGTGAGTGGCCCGCATGCCCTGTCCCCAAGACACCCTCGATGCCCCTCGACTGCCATGTTGGGACCTTCCTGGTGCTTGGCCAATCGGGTTTCGTCGAGTAACTTTACCGGTACGTTCCATTTCTGAAAGAAATTGAGAATGAGTCATTAGACTCGTATCAAATGTCAATTGACGGATAGGTACTTAAAGACATCCCTTGGCTAAAATCACCATCATACCGATTGTTAAGGGTATCATCTTAACAATTAGAGACACTGCAACTCAAGTATCAAAAGTTCTATAAGTACAAAACTTCTTATGCTTATGGTTTTCAAATTCATTTTCAAAAAGGAATTTTGAAGCTTCATTATGATGTTTACGGACTAATGCTCTGATACAAATTAAATTGTCACGCCCCGGACCTACCCAAACACGTCAACAACCCGCCGTACAATACAATAGTCAACCGCAATCCAACTCATCCATACTATACAAGGCGTCTTGAATACCATTCACGCATAGTGCATCCATAAACAAACATAATGTAAAACATTCATTAAGACAGCGGAAACAATATTACAAGTGTTCAAGCCACACTTGGCATAATTAGGCATACAAGCCCCCCCAAATAATTATCCAAAAATAATACCCATGAGCATTATTATAATTGTTTTTAAACAGAAACATAGGAAGCATGAACCACGTCTTCTCTCCTTAATCTTCCCGAAGCAACGAGCGATGGTAGCAACCTTCAAGTTCTACCTGAAACTGTGAGGTGGCCTCCCCGTGAAGGGGAGGTCAGTACTTTGAAGCATTTGAAAAGTACAATGACAACTACAGTGTGTATAATCAATGTTTCAATTTCTAAGACTCCCGATCTATGGTGATATTATATTATAGGCCATAACCATCGATTACCCTGTTTGAAAATATACTTACTTTATATAAAGTCAAGTAGTCGACACGTGGACCCATATTCATTTAGAATTTACCATTTTCGTTCCTCGTGACCACAAGCCACGACAACCCCTTAGGGTTTCATCAAGCCCCGATTGCATAGCGAGGGCTCGGCCCAACTACATTTCTATACAATCCTTTAACTCAATTCAACATGTCACAATTGCATGGCAAGGGCTCGGCCCAACTACGTTTCCATACAACCCCTAATTTCATGGCAAGGGCACGACCCAACTACGTTTCCATGAAGATAACAAATACATGGCAAGGGCTCGACCCAACTACGTTTTCATGTTATCCACAATTACATGGCAAGGGCTCGGCCCAACTACATTTCCATGCAATCCTAGAGTCGATTCTAATTTATTATCATAGTCCGATTCTCAAGCAAATCCTATGCCTAGAATCCATTCACTTGGGTAGCCTTTAAGCCTACCCCTAACATACCTTAGAGCTCGTACAATTTGACCTTAAAGTATTGATGGATAGTGTACCCGGGGGGTAGCTTATCCGAGGGGTTACTGCGGGGAGTAATGTGACACTCCAAAAAAAAAGATAATTTTATTAGTCAGATATGTGATAACAAAAGTGAGATTTTAATAAAGTGAATTAGACAAAATTTCAAGAATTTATGATGTTTTAGTCAGATAAAAATACTTCAATGATGGAAGTAACATTTTTAGGATAATAATTATGAAAGTGACCATTTTTGTAACATTAATGGTTACAGATATGACAAATATTATTAAAAGTGACATTCTAACAAAGTTTAGTTCAAAGGTATTAATTAAACAAATACTAAGGTCAATTATACAAAAGTTGATTTCTAAACATAACATTACTCCGTAATACTATTTGTGCATACGTACATGTATGCATCTCACATTATCAAACAAACCGTATTATAAAATCTCAGTAGAAAACTAATACTCCGTACACGCCTAATAACTCACCCGCACAGTTACAAGGAAAGTAGGAAACTGCTGCCATAATAATACTCGCACACGCTTACAAAGGTTACGAAGGTTAGCACCGAAGGATACTCGCCGTAATAAACAAGAGCTCATATTTTTACGCATGAAACGTAAGTCTGGAGTCTTCTAAACCACCCTTATATATACTACGTATATCCTTCCATCATTCTGCGATACAAAACGAAACCCAACATGAGTTGCCGCCTACCATTCACGAGACTACGCTTTATTCTCTTGTCTCTATATAGTATATACACATTCGTTTCCTTCTACAACCAGAGCCTCAATTGACTGAGATTTCTCCATAAGCTCTGCGTCGTAAAAACATGGAAGCAAAGAAGCGGGTGAATGTTGTCAGACTGGTCTTAACATTGGAGAAGCAAGGTCGCCGAAGGTGTTCGAACTACTGCCACCGGATCGACTTCTACCGTTGAACGTCGCCTTCTGTCGCCAACCTACTGACTTGACGTGAGTACAGAAAGGAAGAGCTTGGCGCCGGAAAGAGAGAACCATTGTTGAAGAGGCCTCCATGAGTTTTTACGAGGCTGCCAGAGTGCCGGGACATCTAGCCATTCACACCGGCAAAGGAGGAGCTGCTGGACCACCGTCCTTTCGCAGAGTGAAGAAGTTCACGTACACAGTACGTACCCCTGTTTCATGCCGGAGTGCCGTCGGAGAGTTGCGGGGAAAGGAGGACAATGTCGCTGCAAAAGTTCGCCATAGGGGCTGGCCTGGTACGGAGATTACCGAATCGCAGTGCTATCCCATTATTACACACGTTCCCGGAGGAGAGGAGCCGATGAGAGACAAGCCACACCGCGGAAGCGACTCGTCACCTTCCTCTGCCTCTGTTTCACTTTCCCATCACTCCTGACTTCTTCTTTGGGAAATTAGTTCAAATAGGACTAAAACTATGGCAAAAACCTAAAATAGGACTTGTTATGTTTTTATTCCAAAATAGGACCATACGAGTCCTATTGGAAATATACCTTTTTTTGCATTCCATTCTTACTCTTCCATTAAATATTAATTAAAAATAGTCAAAAGTCATAATTAAATGTTTAATTCATAATAAATTCGAAAAAAATCAAAAAATCGTAGAAATATAATTAAAAAATTTATAAAATTTTTATAAAATAAAAAAATCAAAAACTTTTTTAAAAAATAATTTTATTTTTTAAAAAATTTAAAAAAAATAGTAAAACTCCGTAAAAAAATTTAAAAAAAATATGGATGCCTTTCCCACCGCCTGTACTTCCTCCCAGCACCACCACCTCCGGCCGATGAAAAAAATGTCATTTTCCCAGAAAAATGCCATTTTTTCTGAAAATGCCAAAAAAGTGGCATATTTCTCTTTTCGAATGCCAACATTTTCATTTTTTTCTGCCATAAATATGGCATTCGTAATGAACTTGGCATTTTTTCCCCTGGTGACTGGAGGTGGTGGTGCTGAGGCGGCAGAGGCGGCGGCGATTTTTTTTTAAGTTTTTATTTTTTTTTTTAATTTTTTTTAATTTTTTGAAAAAACAAATTAATTAAATTTTTAATATCGAATTGTTTTTCTTAATTTTTTAGTATTTTTTACGAATTTTTATTATTTTTTATTATTTTATTAGGAATTAAAACATTTTAATAGCTATAAGGGTATAATTGTCAAATGTACACATAATTAGTCCTATGCAAACATAGTTCACGTTTTGGTCCTATTTGTGAAAAGTGAATGACTTTTAGTCCTATTTTGATAATTAACTCTTCTTCTTTCCCACACCGGGGAAGATGACTTCTTCCATACGTAATACGTACGCCTTCTTTTGTTTCATTTTAGTTGGGCTGGTTCGGTTATTAAAACAAATGGGCCAGTAGTTTGATTAAGCTTTGGACAACCTTACTACCTAATATTGAAAATAATGATGAATTAAACTAGGCCACTTGAATATAATTGAACTGGACTGAATATTAGTAAAAGTAAATCAGTGATAATAACTTTAATAAAATTAAACTTAGGAATAAGTACTCGGTGGAGATTACTTTTAAAAATTTACCATTCTGAAACAAGTAAATGAATACTATAAGTTGATTATTTCTAAAACTGACTGACCAGGTTAGCCTAAGCAGAACAATAGATGTATTTTGATAGAGTCAATTCGTTAATCAGATAAATTATGGTGGAATAGAGGTAATTAGTAAATTAGATTAAACAGGTATAACCGGGTAACTAAACAAGTTAAACTAAGGTGGGCTAATTAATCTCAATTTATAAAAAAATATTAATTCTAGAACTTTAATATTCTTAGAAGGCGATTTTGATCAAGATCGAGATAGAAGCTTTGATTAGGATTAATCGCGAATCGAGGTAAGTTTCTCTGTCAATCCAAAATCGTTTCCTCGTATTATATATGTATTATGTGATACGTGATTTTAGTGTATGCATGTGATCTGAAAATTTCTCAATATGTGATATTTGAGAAGAAGTGCTTTTGTGTATTAAATATTTCATTTAATTATTTTCGAGGCATTTGAGAAATTGGGGAAATATTTTGAGTATACTAATCCAAGATAAAAGAATGTTTCCATGAGATAGGCATCTCGGGAGTAATCCGAGGTGTTGGTTTTCCACGTCCCTTAAAATGTGGAGAGTGGTTAGGGCTACTACTAAGAAGAGATTTTTGAGTAACTTTCGGGTCGATGATCCCTTTTAAGAAGCAGAGTTGTAGTAGTAGTCCCTAATCATTCAGAGATATCTTATTCAGGGGTAGTTGGTAGACTGAGTCCCGATTACTCGTGATGACTTACTACTCGGGGGGCTTGGAATCCCTTTTAGGGGGTGTGCACACTTAAGGTAGTCGTTTCGTTTCCGCAAGAGCAGTTGTGGTACCGGCACTTGTTCGGGGTGACCGTCCGTAACCACGGTCCACCGGGCTCAATCGAAAGGTTGAGCACCGCCCTTCTAAATTACTAGGAAGTTAGAGAAGAAGTGATTTTCTTAAGAAATTTAAAGAGAAGAATTACTATGATATTTTCCAAGAGAAGTTGAGGATTTTAGCAAAGAAGTGATTTTAAGAAAAATCAAAGAGAAAAGTATTTTGGTGGAGTGCGTCATTTTTATATAATATTATACTAAAAACTATTTTCTCCAAACCTGATTATTTTACGGGGTTGGGTAGTACTTACTTAGCTCTAAAGCTAATTTTTGTTATTTTTTTCTTGTTCCTTTCTCCTCCCTTAAAATTTTTACAGGTGATGAGTTGGAAGCTTATGTTGACTGATTGGTTGCTTGAACCTGAGAGCGATTTAGAAGATGCCTTAATCAAACCTAGTCAAGAAATCAACATTTATTTATTATGACATTAGTTTTATTGTTTTTGTTTGCCTGTGCATTCGGTTAAGAGATGACCGGATGTGGCGGTAACACCCATTTCTCTATTAAGACTTCCGCTGTATCTCTGATGTTTTCAAATAAAGTTGATAATTCCTTTGAATAAATCATTATTTAAATGTATTTTTGGGTGGGAAAAATGGGGGTGTTACAAGTAACTTAGAGAGAAGTCAGAGAGAATAAGTAAGAGAGAGAGTCAAATGTATTAAATGATCTCGTTGTATTGAGCGTGGTTTACAATGGGGGAAAGAGGTGCTATTTATAGTAGCAATAAATGCTGGATAGGGACACGTGTTAGTATTCTGGCGGTCGAGGGGTCACCTCAACCGGGGTGGCATTGACATTCGCATGTTGCCGCATTAAATGTGGTGGCTGGATGCCACGTTTGTACTCGGTACGGTGATCCAGCGCATGTGGATGGGAGATTCTATCGAGGAGGAAGCCTTCGGCTGTAGATGACAGTCCGAAGGCTCCGGGTACCGGGGGCCTCATGATACCGAGGGCTCCAATTGTCGAAGGCTTGGTTTTCCGGACCTGTTCTCCTGTGATGTTTCTGAGCCCAATTCCGTCATCGGTAGCCTTCAGCCAGGGGGAGGATTCTCCTCCTCTTTCCATTCAAATCCGGCTTAATTCACCGGGGCTATAAATTTACAAGTTTCAAATACTCTTATTGCTTACAATAGATTAAAAATCACGAGTTCAAGGAATTACCCGCAACGCAGTCCGGGTTGGCCCTTGCGTCCGCTTCCATCATCGCATAGAGCTGAGCTTGGGTCTTGCCTTGGTTCATGGATGGCGCGTTGCTCGTACTTGGCCCGATGTGCCCCATGTTCGCATGAGGTGCTCCTGTCCGGTTCCTACTCCTCGTAGTCTTGCTACTAGGTCGTGCACCCATGGCTCGCCCAAGTTGTGGGCAATTTGTTCTCAAGTGTCTCGCCTCCCTGCATTGGTAGCATCTTGGGGGATCACGACACTTTCCTGCATGGTTCTTCTTGCACTTATTACACCTTATAATGCCCGAGCCTTGCGACCTCGAGCCTTGCCCACCTAGGCCTTGGTTTCCCCTCGATGGTGGCGTGGGTGTTCTAAAACACCCACCTCCCCCGTGGTTCCCCTTTTTGCTAGAACCTTGGGGACCATGGTTCTCCCATTTTCTTTTCTTCACCTCCTCAACGTTCTTCATTTTCCTTTCTTCCCATTCTTTTTCTCCCTTCAAACCTTGCTCCATCACTTGACTAACCGTCATGTTACGCAGTTGTGTTGCCCTCTCACGCACCTCCAAGTCTAAGGCATCCCAGAAGTGATTAACCATTTGGTTCTCGTCGCAAACATATTCTGGAATGAACTCAGCGAGCTCCCTGAATTTGTGTTCAAGTTGCCTCACCGTCAATTTACCACTTTTTGTTAGGAGGGTATACTCTCTCCTCTTAGCGTTTACTTCAAAATCAGAATAGTATTGGGCAAAGAATTCCTGTCAGAAATTCTTCCAAGTCACGGTCCCGCCGTATTTGTCTTTGACTCCATCCCACCACGTGGACGCCATCCCTTCAAGCAATCTCACCGCAACCCTTAGCTTAAACCCGATGCCCCTCAACTGCCATGTTGGGACCTTCCCGGTGCCTGGCCAATCGGATTCCGTCGAGTAACTTTACCGGTACGTTCCATTTCTGAAAGAAATTGAGAATGAGTCATTAGACTCGTATCAAATGTCAATTGACGGATAGGTACTTAAAGACATCCCTTGGCTCAAATCACCGTCATACCAATTGTGAAGGGTACCATCTTAACAATTAGAGACACTGCAACACAAGTACCAAAAGTTCAATAAATACAAAACTTCTTATGCTCATGGTTTTCAAATTCATTTTCAAAAAGGAATTTTGAAGCTTCATTGTGATGTTTACGGACTAAGGCTCTAATACCAATTAAATTGTCACACCCCGGACCTACCCAAACACGTCAACAACCCATCATACAGTACAAATAGTCAACCGCAGTCCAACTCATCCATACTATACAAGGCGTCTTGAATACCATTCACACATAGTACATCCATAAACAAACATAATGTAAAACATTCATTAAGGCAGCGGAAACAATATTACAAGTGTTCAAGCCACACTTGGCATAATTAGGCATACAAGCCCCCCAAATAATTATCCAAAAATAATATCCATGAGCATTATTATAATTGTTTTTTAAACAGAAATAGAGGAAGCATGAACCACACCTTCTCTCCTTGATCTTCCCGAAGCAACGAGCAATGGTAGCAACCTTCAAATTCTACCTGAAACTATGAGGTGGCCTCCCCCGTGAAGGATAGGTCAGTACTTTAAAGCATTTGAAAAGTACAGTGACGACTACAGTGTATATAATCAATGTTTCAATTTCTAAGACTCTCAATCTAGGGTGATATTATATTATAGGCCATAACCCTCGATTACCATGTTTGAAAATATACTTACTTTATATAAAGTCAGGTAGTCGACCCGTGGGCCCATATTCATTTAGAATTCACCATTTTCATTCCCCGTGACCACAAGCCACGACAACCCCTTAGGGTTTCATCAAGCCCCGATTGCATAGCGAGGGCTCGGCCTAACTACATTTCTATACAATCCATTAACTCA